AGTGCGTTGGATTCCTGAGACAATTTCACACCTAAATATCTGCATAGCAACTTCTAAAAATTAATTTAAAAATTAAAAATTGAACATTCTTCGGCCGACGCGAGACAAGAGGCGATTTTTCTCCATGGACCCCATGAGAACCGGTCTAGCTCCGGAAATATTGCTCGGATCACCTCGGAACTTACAAGTAAACATTCTTTTTTGAAAATGACAATCACCAGGTTTGACATGCTTTTCTGAAAGTTTCCGAGCCCTGGAGCAACCCCGAGTCGTTTTTCCCTGCTGTCCTGAATTTCATACCCTTTTCTTGCAGGCTCCGAAACCCGGAAAAAACACAATTTACATTGAAATCCGGGATATTTTTCTCGGATTTTGATGGAAATGTTTTTTCCTCAGGCTTCGAAGCTCGGAAAGACCCATTCCCATTGATATCCGAGCAAAATATCCCGGATTTCGATGTAAATGGTGTTTTTTCCGGGTTTCGGAGCCTGCAGGGGAGGGGTACGAAATGCAGGACAGCAGGGAAAAACGACTCGGGGTTGCTTCGGGGCTCGGAAACTTTCAGAAAAGCATGTCAAACCTGGTGATTTTCATTTTCAAAAAAGAATGTTTACTTGTCAGAGCCTCTGAGGCTCAGAGGCCCCCTCGCCACAGCCAACTCTTCCCGCTGAGAGCATGCGTGTTTATTTTCGGTCTCGAGTGGTCTGCTCTAAGGAACCGGCACTCCTGTAGTTACCACCATCGCGCATTCTATTCCAGATAAGTGGAAAAGTTCTCCGCATCTTCCCTGTAATTCTCGCGAAGTCAGCATGGCTGCAGATGCATCTCAACGAGTGCAGAAAGCCATGGAGAATGCTTTCGATGAGATAGACAAAGCGAAAGTTCGCAGAGTGCAGGTAAGAATTTGGAACTCGCTCCTTATCAGGCTCAAGTTCACGCCGGGGCACTGATCTCTCGTTCCACTCACTGCTGTTCTGGATGCTTCGTCCTCCTCCGGTTTGGACGAGAGGGTCAGCTCTTCTGGGAAGAACGGGCAATGAACCGATGTTGTCGTCCGGGAACGATCTCAGACCGATCCGTGAATTTAACGATCATATACGCACATGAGCTGTTTACGCCGAATGGATCGTATCTGCTCTGGGGAGGTGAGGAGGACATCTCGGGAAGCGGTGGATAGCCCTTCGCCGTCCTGGATTGACATACGTCGTTTCAGAACCCGGGGCATAACAGCTGTACACGGCGCGGTCGATGAGACCTCCGTCGTCGTCGAGAAGAGAGTATGTCCTTCCCTACGACAGTCGTATCTGACCTGTGCGCTGCTGACTTCATTATTTCTACTCCCCAGCGTGACATGCACCTCTGTGCTGCCAAATGCTGTGACGATAGCACCAAGTCAGCCGAGCAAGTTCATAACTGTATCGAGAATTGTCAAGATAGCTTCACTTCAATCCGTGGAATCATCGCGAAAGAGTTCAGTCATTTCCAGGTGAGCTCTCCCGAAGCACATCAGGCGACATAGGCCAATTAAATAATTATTGATTATAATCGTTTTCTTTATTCATCGAGACGTCTGATGGCCATACTAAGTATTATGACTATAGGGTCTATATTATAATTGTTATAATTATTTTATAATTAGATTATAATTGATAGAGATAGTTCCGAAGAGATATCGTGTGTCGTGTGGTCTTCATGATTTGTGTCAGGAGTCCTGTGGTCACACTGATCGTGTGCCTATGAGCGTCCTCGGGTATGAGAACCCATAACGGCGATCTAGGTACTTCCACGCGGTAGCGCGCAGACGGGGGGCATTGGTACGCCCTGCTCTGGGGCGGAACTCTGACCGGCGACAATGTCGAACTAGATGCTCAAGAAAACGCTAGATATGTGGGAAATTTTCCGGAAAGATTCGTGATAGGGGGCGGCAGCCCGATCGATCGCATTCAGGAGTACTTTAAATATTACGATCACCGTTCCGAGCGGCAGTCGAATTCACCGACCGGCTTCACGGCATCGCTTCTCTGCCAAGTGAGCCGACCCGGTCTCGGTGAGCTCAGTATGTGGAATAACGCTCCCGAAACGCAAAAACTTGAAACATTGATGGACATTGATACGTTCCACCCAACGCTCATCGGCAAATATCAGATTACCGGGGCGGATCGCACTGCGATTCCTTCGGCCGAGCCCCGGCAACATTGATCCCGAATATATGGCGTTTTATTCGTTCAGAAGAGAACAGTGGGTTTCTAACAATAAGAATTTCGACATATCGTCCTCGTGGTCTTGAGGTTCTCGGACCGTTCCTCCTAGCGTTTCGTGCCCTAAGCATGTACAATCTTCTACATGGTAGCGAGTGATGTTCATTTCTCCACAAAATCTACATTGATCTTAAGGCCATGATTGCTCCAATCGTAGAAGGGCTGTCGGATGCGTTCCGAGGGACTTATCCTTGAGCTCACCTCAGCTCTAGATCGAGTTCTGGAGATCGCAGAGTCCACAAATAGTCAAATATCTCGCATTCCTCATCATCATGCTTGGACTCCTAGACTCTTCCTGGATAAAACTCAACCTATACTGTATTGCAGAGGAAACTGGAATTGTGCGCGAAGAAATGTGAATCCGATATGCGGGACACGATACCGGTGAAGGCGACCCAAGCCGACGTCGACAAGTACAGCAAACAATTCGATTCCTGTATAGTCAAGTGCGCGGACGAGAACATTGACGGAATACCCACCATGCTGAGGCGCTTGAAGGAGTTGCTCACATCATTTTGATCGGACCGTGATTACACGTGAACATTCTGTTGTGAGCATTTGCACGCTGTCGCCATAGTGGACTAGACTTATCTAGATATGAATTACACCATGAGGGAACTGTCAATAAATGCCGATCAATAGGACACTCTTTCGGAATTCTTCTTCACGAGTTATAAGGTGGACAGACTCACTGAGCCCCTCATTCGGATCCCTTCGCGCATCGCTCGATGTCACGTTCGTCAATTGACTCCTGACGCATGCGGCCCGGGGCGTAGCCGTTGAGTCGTGCATATCTGTTTTGATTCCTGTCAGATGTGTTGATTCGAGTGTCCACTTTCTTCTAGAGGCTCGCTCCCCATCGACTGGTGCCGTCCCTTTCTCACTTCACGTAGAATGCTGTCATTCTCCTCTCAAGTCCTCTTTACCCACGGATCACTTCTCGAAAGCTCGACCACAGAAATCATAACGAGTCTTTCCGACGCCGGTAAAGCATACCTCCTGCACTTGCAGAGCGTCTGCTGCTTCGCAAATATTTTTCTCGACCAGACTGCGTGATGATGCTCTAGGCGCTGATAATTCGCTGATAGCTGCCGAGTAATCATTTTACTCATCTAGTATCAAGGCCTCGGACCAAGCGAAGATCCATGAGCTTCTCTTCGAAAGCCGACAGAGCCAAAGTCGACGAGATCGTTCCATCGGAAGCAGTGTTCTGGACACCCAACTCTGGGGATCGGTCATCTTCCAAACGTCACTCTCCACGCACAGGTCAGGGAGGCAATCGGGGAAGCCTAGTCGTTTCCAGGTTGGCGATTTCGTTGAGAATTCTGCTCAGGTGCAGGTTGGTTGTTGATTCCCTTGTATCCCCCATAGGGAACCGCTATGATGTTGGGAAGACTCGTTCGATCGCGGAACATTCCCCTTGCGCGGAGTTTCTTCAGTGGATTGTCGGAGAATCATCGAATACTCCAGGAGACGTGTAGGAAATTCGCGGATGAGGAAGTACGACCTGTTGCTGCCAAAAACGACGAGCATAAAATTTTCCCGAGAGAGATCCTCGGAAAATTGGGTGAGTCAGGCGCTAGCGGTGGAACAATATCGATGCTTGGGGAGTACGTCCTTCAGCTATCGTTTCGTTCCCAGGCGATCTCGGACTCATGTCGATACATATTCCGCAAGAAGCCGGTGGCTCCGGTTTCGACTCGCTGTCATACGCGATTGCCATTGAAGAAATCTCGAACGCATGCGCCGGCACGGGGGTAGGTCCCGGATCATCATGCCGCAGGTCTAGCTCTATATTAGAGAACTTGGCACGTTAAGATGAGCAAGACTCTTCAAATTTACGCTTTTTCCCGAAGGTTATAATGGCGGTCCAGCACCTATACTTGGCAGTCGTCAGTCAATGGGGGACGCCGAAACAAATCGATGACTTCGTCAAACCTTTCGCTAATGGCAGAAAGTTTGCATGTTACGCCTTATCCGAGCCAGGTAGGGATGTGATTTCTCTGGTGAGAGGTACCTCATGTTCCATGAGGACTAGGACTCCGTGAAGCTTGGTCCTAGATTATTCCGAGTTCAATATGCATGTTTCGTGCTTTGCTCGAGATTGAACGCCCTAGTCATAATTAAGAGCACCGCCCGAACTCCGTTATGGACCAAGGTTCCATATGGTTTCGAGATATTCGCGAGCTCAACCCGAGTCTTATTCTCAGGAAACGGGAGTGACGCCGGAGCCGTCGCGACGACAGCGACAGTACGGAACGACGAGGTACAGCTGATTGATGTTATACTCGAGCTGCAATCAGCTCAGATGGGACGACAAGAGGCGATTGATGAATGCATCGGTGGTTTCATATCCGCAGATTCTCTTGAATGGAACGAAAGCTTGGATAACGAACGCCGAGCAAGGAGAGGCAGCCGTGGTATTCGCGTCCGCGGATCGAAGCAAGAAGCATAAAGGTCTCTAGGTCTTACGAGTGATGATCTGATCAAGGAGAGCGGGGCTGAACCAAAAAGACTACTCTGTCGTTCCCAGCAAATGACATGCTATAATCGAGGACTTGTAGTAATGTGGAGGCTGTAGTACTTAGATTCAGAACTCCATCTCTCCTGGATTTTCCAGGGGTCAACTGCTACCTCGTTCCGATGCCAACAGACGGTCTATCCCGACCGAAGTTCGAGGATAAACTCGGAATTCGCGCGTCCTCCACGGGCCAACTCGTCTTCGAAAATGTTGCGCTCCCGAAAGAGAATCAACTTGGTGGCGACGGTGATGGCTTCAAGATTGCCATGATGGCCCTCGATGGGGGTCGAATAGGTGAGCCTCCTTGTGCTCGATTTCTGCTAATTTGGAGTGATTCCTCGCCTCGTCCGCGGTAAGCTCCAGGTCAATTTCCACTATTCGATGTGGGCCTTCACAATCGGTAATTAATAAAGCCTTGACTCCTGTCTAATATTTCACCAGGCATAGCTAGTCAAGCTCTGGGCATCGGACAGGCGGCACTGAACCTCGCTGCGCGCTATGCTCAGGAGAGGAGCTCTTTCAACACAAAACTCAGCAAGTTACAAGCAATACAATTTAAACTTGCCGACATGGAAACCAAGCTGCAGTCCGCGCGACTCATGACATGGTACGCCGCATATCTGAAGGTAAATGAAACATCATCTCGTGGCCTCGGAGTGTTCCATTTTGATATCTCGTGCTCGTTCGGGACTCGTATCCGGACGCGATTCTCCCCTCCCATATTCCACGCTGGCAAAGAACACTAGTCCCGAATTCATGGCGGCCAAGAAGCCCTAATAGTCGGAATCGGAGAAGACGCTGTCCACCTCAGATGCTACCTATGGGTGGTTTCATTTCACGATGTGATGTTCGCTCCGGTGCGTCTTTGGAAGTTCAATACATGCAATCTCAAGTGACGATCGAATATCTCATTGCCAGGATTCGGGCGTTCCGTACGGGAAAGCAGCCTCCATGGCCAAACTCACCGCCTCTGAGGCTGCCAACTTCTGCGCCTTCCAAGCCATTCAGATTTTGGGCGGTATGGGATACGTCAAGGTGAGCGAACCTTCATTCCCTCCGCTAAGATGGCGATCGAGCAGTCCACTAAGCCTGACGTAGATATCGACTCTGACACTGAGCTGCGGCGCCACTCCAGGACATGCCAGCTGAGCGACACTTCCGCGATGCCCGCATCACCGAGATCTACGAGGGGACCTCCGAAATTCAACGTATTGTGATCGCGAATCATCTCCTGAGAGAACATGCTATCTGAGGTCACTTCCCCGAACATCTGTCCTTCGGCCATCTCGCCCAACGCAAATAATTTCTAAGATAATGTAAGGAGGAATACGGAGACTCTACGCCGGTAGGAGCGTTCCTCAGCATGATCTTCGTTCGCGACGTGATAAAAACAGAGGCGATGAGCTGTTGAATGTCTCCACATGGGGCTGGAGCTACTCAAATATTCTTCTAGGAGGCGAGATGTCGGAGACCACAGTTTCCTGAGCCTCCAATCTGTTAACTCTCAGCTCGACTTCTTCCTCGTCGACAGCCTTCACTGAATTCCTGCGGAAGATGCCTCCCTAACTGCTCAGGAGTATTTTGGCCATCTTCCTCGCTTTCCTGACCAACGGAATTCTCTGCAAGACTCGATTTCGCCCCGGCGATTTGAATAAACAAGCAGCAGAACTCTAACGAGAGCTTTCTCTTAAGAGGCTTTGTTTCGAATAGCGACAACATGTCGTCAGAAGACGATGCACTGAACAAGTGAAAACTCCTTAGTGAACTTCCTCGTATACGCGTTTAATGATATTCATTTCATGGACCACCAGGATCCCTCGGTCTTCATCGATGCCATCACCATTGGAAAGACCTCTCTCGATTGATCACATAAAAACTTCGGCTTATTTTTCTAATGAAAAGATATATTCACACAAACATGAGAGCCTCTCAACAAGGACCGGGCGCCTACAATAAAACCTTCTAGATATAGAGACAGTATCGTACAATTCGATTCCTCAGATCGCTCGAATTCAACCAAGCCTAGTGTCCACTTCAAGACTTGAACCCTTAAAAGATCCGCGCAGGGCGCCAAGCTCTATGGTCGGGGATGTCGAGCGACTTCGAGGAAGAAACATAAAATAATTTTGGCCACAGCTCCGCTTACTAAGTCGGAGTGCTCGTCAGGATGATCGTCTCATTACGAAGCCGAGCTCCCCATAAAATATTTCTTCTCGGAAGCGATTCGATATGGAGTCGACGATATTCCGAACTTCGAGTTCACTGAATGCTCACTCCTAATAAGCTTGCCGAAGCTCGTTGAGCATCTCTGTCATCCGTGCCAATTGTTCACCCTGGAAGAAACACCGGATCAGATCCAGAGCCTACAGTCGTGTCTCATAGAAGGACATAGACCCCGAAGCCGGGCGATTGTCCGCTCCTACCTTGATGCGGCACTCAGAAGCAAGTCTTTCATTGTCGAGGCTCTTCATATGAGCCTCGGCCCTGAGCAAAGTGATCTGCTTCTCGAGGAGCGCCTTATCCCGCTTGTGCTCGGTCACCTAGAACGGCATCCATCAATTAGTCGCAATGATGCACGAGATTCGAGCACCGATCTCCTGAGGGCAGTTAGTGAGCACGAAGGCGGCCTGATTCCTCCCCAAGGGAAATTCTCAACTTCATTTCTTACCAGAGCATCAATATGAGCTTCATGCTTCGCCAGGAGATCCCGGTACTCGAAAGATTTTTGCTCAATCGTGCTCTTGTACTGAGCCAGCATGTCTTGTTGATCGGTGAGGACCTGAAGGGGACGGGACGCTCGATGAATGACAGAAGTATCGCACAGCCGGACATCGAATGAAACAAAGCTCACATGCAGCGCTCGAATATACCACGCTTTTTCACGGATGCCTTGCTCAATTACGAGAACCTACAACTTTGAGTTCCTGGTTGACGTCTTTGACTTCATTCATCCTCGCCATGGTGTCCTGCACAGTCTGTTCCAAGTTGTCCACAGTCTTCTCCAGCATGGAGTTCTTCTTCTTGAGTTTGTCAACATCGGCGCCATTGGCATCTTTCTGAGGAGACGACCCGCTACCCAGCGACGATGCTGAAGACCTGTGGATCAGAGGATTGAAGAGTTTCCGAACCCGAAATGAGATTCGCTCATCGTCCTCCGTAGGAATACGCGTCGTCTCCGTACCCTTTTTGTTTTGCATTGCTCTCGTTGATTCGCTTCAAGAGTTCCTCGTATGCTCTCAAGGCAGCGACACCTTGGTCTCTTTCTGCCAATGCATCGTTCAACTGTATCCGTAGCTGTTCGAGCTCGTCCTGGAGGGTGGTGATCTGAAGCATGGTGAAAAAAATTGTCTCCTGAGTTGAACGGGATAGGGAAACAACCTGATGGTCAAACGGAAAAAATCTGCTCGGACTGATGCTGATCAATCAATCAATCAAAGTTCATTCAACCAAGGAGGAAACGACAAGCAGTCGATCCGATCTCTGCCAGGCGCAGCAAGAACTATCCGGCATGCACTTCGGGGTGCGTCCACCGAGGCAATCGATCCGATGCAGATTTTAAGATCAAACCCCGTAGCGGTCAACGATTGCGATGCAGTGTGCTCATTCCGCGAAATGCCTAAGGATGCGAGTTCGGCCACACGGCGTTTCTGCACTCACTTGATCTTCGTGTACCTTGGCGTCAATCGTTAGCGCACTCTCAGTTTGTGAATCGACATCTTGGCCATCCGAACCGACGCCCGTGATTAGAGCCATCATCGGTGACACCAAGGCAGAAGGTTTGGCTTGGTTCTGCTGAACACTCACTTGACTCAATGTAGAACCGTTGTTCGACGGACGCGAAGCTCTATGACTGTGGAATTTCGACTCCTCTTTGGTGGACCCGTTAGAGATCGCCGAGCCGTCCACACGTTCCACAGTATTCGGAAGTCTTCAAAGGAATGCTTTGATTAGGTTTTTGAAGGAATTGAAAGTTCCAATCCCAAAAGGCACTATCATCGATGAGTTCATACTCACGGCAACCCGTTGTCGGTGGATCTTGCGTCTCGGTCCGAGTCGAGACCGTTCATCTCTGAATGGAACTTCTCGATGCTCTCGCAAGTCTTTTTCGTGAATGTGCCGAACTTCGAATTCATTTGTAATCTCGAAAATGTCTGCTTTGTAATCGTCCTCGTATCATATGAGCCGACGGGCCCTAGATCGTCCTGGGAAAAAGCCACCGCTAGTTATTATCGAATATCGCCGTAGTCACTTATGCGTATGCGCTTCCCAGCGACAGCCTGGTCAGTATTACGAGGATTTCTGTTGTGGCACGGCGTCGACGATTTCCGTGCATTCAAACTTGCATGGACTTACCGGCAAAGAGTTCTGGTTGAAATTCAGCGTATCGGGATGTCCGTTGAATAGGGCGACTTCTGGTCCAGCTTCGCTCGTATTCTGATTAAGAAAATCTGGGACCGAAGGATCTACGCCGGCCTCCGTCATATTTGTTGTCCGGAACTGGAATGAGGAAACATTCTGAGTGAGCTCCGAGCCTTCGGTGTCCAATGCTTCAAGCTAATTATCTCGCTTGAATACGACTTGTAGCCGTAGTGATTCAATAACTTGAAGCTTCCGAATCGTAGCGGGAACGGAGGGACGGCTTCCCTCGTCGGCTCAAGGATCAAATCGTTTTGAGACAATCAGTTCCCAAATCGGTGCTCATTGTGAATCATTCTCCCGGCTACCGGGAATCCATTGGATAGTCCGAAATTCCTCCAGCGCTCCGGTCCGAATGGACGATGGAGTGGCGGCCGAGAAACGAGCCCCGTTAACACATACATGAATTCAAAAACACCCAACTACAGTCGACGAGGAACGAACCCGACTTTTAGCCCACGTAAGAAAATTCCAAGGATAGCGATCAAAGCCGTCGCCGACTGAGTGCCCACCACGTACAGACGACCGCCAATTTTTCGCGAGCAACGGTGTACGCCGACGTTGCAAGCATGCTGGGTTCCCACTCTGCTATGAATGCAAGGCATATTGTACACAGACTTTTGCTCGCGTGATTGACGTCATCGGATCGGTAAAATCTGCGCGATTAAGCATCCTCGATCATTCGATTAGTCGAATAGCCTCGGCCACCGATCTGCGACCAGGCTCAGTGAAATCAAGAACCGAGCGCTTAGATGAACCCGCGAATGCCATTCGGCATCATCTCGATCGATTCGACAAACATTTCAATCATGGATTCGGTTGGGGAGCGTTTCGGGAGATGGGTACTCAAAAATTGCTCCAAACCTGAGATTTCCGAAGCATCATAGCCAACTCCTGTAGGCCGGGGCGGTGACGCATCATGAAGTTTTCCTCTGGTAGTCCAGTGTTGTCAAGACGCACTCAACCAAACTCACTAGGTCAACCAGCCCAGAGTGATCAACTAGAATTTCCCCAGGTCTCCGGAGTCTCCACCGATGATCTGATACAAGCGCACCAGAATACGCTTTGAACGCTTAGGGTAAGGGAAATATGGGGGAGCTTTCAGCATGACCGTGTGTAGACGACGCTCTTAAAATGACGCGAGTCGCTCAGCTAACAAGCACGATTGTTCCGACCAGATGAACGACCGCACGGAACGCTTGAAATTAGACTGTGACCGTGTCGGGAATGCCCGAAATGACTGGAACTCCAGGGGACAATTTTTCACCGATTGTTCCCGAAAGTAGTGGAGCCCCTAAAGCATCTCGGATCGGAATCGCGAATAATAATCGTGAGCTATGTAGTTCCATGTGTACCCCTCTGGAGCAATTGTCGACTTCAAGGTTTGCTTCAGCGGACTGATCCGGTGGAATGAGCGGATGACTTTTCCTCCTCCGAAATTCCACAGGATCCCCTCTGGAACCCTCGACTCCGCCGGTGCCTGGGAGACGGAGCAACTCCAGCAAGAGTTCAGAAATCTGGTGAGAGGGACAGATTCTCCGTCTTGGCGAGAGCAAGATGATGAATAATGATCACACCATCCGACGACTAGGATTTCTCCCCTCGCCGTTATTGCTTGGGTTCTGGTGACGAAACTCTCCCCATACCCCATGCATGGCGAGCGAAGTGAATAATGGCTCCTGGTGAGATCGACGTTTTGAGTAGCCGAGGGCGATAAGCACTGCCTATTGTTTTGAGCCATTGAAGCGTTCAACTTCGAGGAAAGCCATTCTCTGACGGCCCGTAGATGGAAAGGGCGAGAAATGCGTGTCAAGAACCTTGAGGCCAGTCGGATGTTGAGTTACCCCCTCAGATAGACAAGGACTCCAGGTTGATCTTCGAAAGAGTAGACCCTCAGCTGTCCACAGTCACCATCTTTAAAGCTCAGCTGGGATCAGCTGTTCTTTCCCGACGTACAGCCCGCTCTAAGATATTGATGAATCTGAGAAGATATGCCGGCTCCAGCACAGGATACGGATGATTGTCAAACGAAGCAGGAGCGCATCGAACCATGATTGGAACGTCTGATTTACCAATAAATCGCTGGTAGCGCACTGTGCTGGAGACACGGGAGGAAAACGCCCCGAATCAGAATAGCTCGACAGGATAACCTGTCCGGCTCAGGGGAATCTCGAGAACTGAACGGAGATCTACTAGAAGGTATTCGAGGTATCCTCGGCGGGGAAATTTCTCGAGTATGACGTACGGAAAGTTGCCCGTCTAGCACCAGACTTTCGGTATCCATCCAGTCTCCAGCTGTCCAATCGAAGCGCCAGGTCGAATTCCGAACTTCAAGGCTCGAATTCGCGGCGTCAGGAGTGCCTGGGAACCGCACTGCTTCACTAGGGGTTATGATTCAGACATCTCGAAATGACAGTTGTAGCTTTCGGCACGTGTTCGCAGAGTCAAGGCTAAGAGTGTCATACGGATATAGAACAATTTCCCCAATTCTCAACAAACTCTCCGGACCACTGTCTCTCACAACTGTCAGATCTGCCTATGCGATCTCGAAACGAGAAAAATCCGTGAACTGTCACCACAACATACCGATCAGGAGCTCGGAATGTTCCAAAAGACGACGTGTATCACGACTGTCCACCAAGTTCTCGACAGACAAACCGGGTGCAGCAACTACTGAGGTGCTATTCACGGAAGCGGAGAACGTTTCATGGGAATCCGTTAGACGCGATAGCACAAAATAAACACGAGGCCGTTGGCAGAATGTCGTTGAATAGTCATCACTGAAGCAAATCACACTCGAATTTTGAGATTCTCCGTGTTTGCTGGCTCCGTCTGTTGTGTTGGTCGGTTCAATAGCTACGACGGCCACCACCGAGCAAAGCTCTATGGGATGGACTGCGCATGCGTCGAATTCTCGTGGAGGGCCCCTAAGAGAGGGTATTCCAGCGGTGAAAGCATCCAGCAACATCGGAAATATTGATATAACAATTGGATTCTGATCTTGAGTCTCCATGCAGTACGATAGATAGGTCGACGAATGAATGTTTCTCTTCATCAACTCCGCAATACTGACGCACGTCGGATGGTAGCCGGTTTTCGTGAGATTGACCCGGAATGAGGATCCTCGGGGAACAAAAATAGCCGATTCTTGAGTCTATGGGTTCTAAGCTTTGCAGATCATTCGTTCAACCAGTAAACAATTTGGATTGGAGAATCCGTACTAGGAGACTGGGAACGACATTCTCCGAGAGGCTTCCGGACCCTTTGTTCGGAACAATCTCTCAGTCTCAAAAGAGTTTGAGGATCCCAACTCAATTCAGGAACTGAGAACGTACTCAGTAGTTCGCTTTGAATAGCTCGCTGCTCCGATAAACGCATGAAAGACTCGAAAATCCCAACTGTTGGCGCTCCGGCGCCCTAGCCCTCAGGCATTCGTAAAGTATATCAGACCGAGATTCGTTTGCACAGCTTGGTCGCTCATTTGAAGGAGTCTAGGATCGTCACGTCGCGTGTTCCGGGTGGGGGCTTGTGAATCCGCTGATCGGGTAAGAAACGTTCCGAGTCGATACCGTGAAAAAAACAATCCGCATTTCATACAAATCAATTGCTTTTTGTCTGAGGCGCTCGCCCCGGCATTGGGCCTCCTGACTCCCGTCGGGCCTGCGCAGGGTCGGAGCCAAGGAGCCGCGAAAGTCGACCGGAACTTCTTTCCAAGCTTAACTCCAACGCGGCACTTCTTAGAAGCCTCTCGGGACCTGCCATGAAATCAGGAAGCGCTCTCGCGGCGATAATCCAGTCAGAATTCCTTTCGAAGACACCAGGGACGCGAGTTCGTAGGGATGCGGGCAGAGTATCCCCAGGAGCCCCAGGAGGTCTATTTCCCCCTCGGAGAGGGTACTCGTGGGAAGCACGCGGCCAGCTCTGGGTTCCATTGATTCAAGAATGCCGTCATGATAATGTCTCAAGCAGCACGTGCGTTACACAGGGCTCCCTCATCCTCTCTATTGCGGCTGTTGGTACCCTGGCAATCTAGAGGTCCCTATCCGAGGGAGAACAGCGTCGCTCGTTTTGATCATCGGTAGTTTCTCATTATTTTGCCATATGAAGACTGAAGTCTGCAGGACACAGCACAGCAAGAACGAAACATCAATATCCTCATTTATTTCGGACAGCTCGTTACACGGAGACACCAAACCCATATGGCGCTGCTTGTCGTGACCGATGTGGTATACCTTTAGGAATATACGAATCGCATATCTCTTCCAATCTGCGACGTTCCGACAACTCCCCCTCAGCATATGTACACTATCTCCTTGCCATTATCAGTTTGATCATTCGTCAAAATCTATTTCATTGTCGTTTCTTTGACCCCTATATTGCAGTAGTACAACTCGGAATATTCTGGGAATTATTTTTATCAGGTCGCTATCCCCTCTGCAAATGGCTCCGGCCGACTTCAATCGAAGAGATACAAGATTGATCCTCTTTCCTGATTAAACTGAAGCGGAAACTCTCTATATCTGCGGTTGATGAGATGAAAATTCGTCAACAAAAGCACGGATCCCCATATTCAACCCTCAGAAGGCCCCCGACATCGACCACACAGCTTACTTGACGAAGGCGGCGAATACGCCCCACATGATATCACATGACTGGCCTGAAAACAGGAAGGAATTTTGATTAAACAATTGATGCGCATGATTAACTTGATGACCCACCCGAAAAATTCGGAACATATACTCACTTTTCGCGCATTCAGCTTCGAAATCCATATCGAGGAGGTCCCTAACCCTTCGCATGGCCATCTCGTAATCTTCATCTGACAAGGGGTTGAAAGCGTTCTCCAGAACGTCGGACGCGTGTGACAGCATGAGCAAGGATAATTGACGGCGCTCCATCCGATGAATATCATTCGCCCATTTCGAGAGTACGCTGTCCTGTACTCGTTTGATTAGTTTGTCTTTTACATTCTGATCCACCAGGGGATGAGTTGTCATATCGAATAATAGAAAATTTTGTTTCTCGGTGGTGAGAATCCCCTTCTCTACTAAACCCTTGGCCAAGCGCTCTCGGACGTTCCTCAGCTGGTATCGTAGTTTCAGGGGATTCCATGTTTCACCTGGAAGACGCGACTCGTTTGAATTCGGATGGTCCTCACGGAGTTCCGTTTCGAATTTATGACGCGAAGGCTGGGAATGAGTTCACCATGAGAAACCATCGCCCACTCACCACTGAGGTAATCGACCCAGTTCTGTAAGGTGTCTGGTGGGCTGGTCTCCTTGATGTGTTTCAGGGCTTCATCCAGAATGACATCGCCGACAGGTGCGTCGTTTTTGACAATAACCTGCAGAGGGGAAAATCGTTCATCGATATGGTTGATACATGAAGCGCCGGCTAATCTGGACGAGTCTCCCAGAGATTTTGCGCGCAGGGAAGTTTCGAGCTTCACGAACCTTTCTCATGAGCAACGACTTCCGTCGCATTCCAGCCGATTCGAGATCGATTCGTCCTCTGAGACCGAGTTCAACAAGGATACAACCTCTCAAACCTGATGAAATGCAGTCATTCCAAAACGATGTGTAACCCTGGAACGTTTGGACATGTAGGATCCGCCGACTGAGCTCATGGGGGAAACGTGAACCTTCCCGAGCCCTGATTTCATGGAATGTAATCTGAGTGATATAATCAATCAAAGTGTCTCGAGACTTGTCTCCAGAGTTCATACGATCGAGATGGCACAGATTTGACACCGCAAAGACTGCGCCGAAATGATTGGCTAACAGTGATACACATATATCATTCAGAGCCGGTCCTCCGATGTCGAGGAGGACGGATTTGAACTGCGGAAAGCGCCCACAGTGCAAGGTGACCTGACATCGTCCCAGCATCGCAGGGCAACGATGAGATGAGCGACTCGCGTCAACCGCAGCATCATTCCAGCACGAGCGGAATCTCGAACCTCTACTATGATGATCCCTATGATGGAGAAGAGGCTCACCTCTTTTTCTTTGAGTCCCAATAACAGAACCTCTTCCATTAAAGTCATCCTCGTCTCTTTGTCGTCGATATCATCTTTCTTGTCGTCGTCTCGACATTTGTCAGCTTCGGCGTTGTTCTGGCCATTCGCTTGGTTGACGGCGGGCGTACGTCTCCGTACTCCGTCGGGCCGCGACATCTGGAATAAGACACGGCTCCAGTGACTTGGCGAGTCGAAAATCCTCCCAGTTCGGAGCACTGTACAAGGGATCTCGGTCCGCCTCTCTGAACGATATAACAAGTTTTTGGAGTGCGCAGCAGAAGGCGCTGCCGCAATCGACGTCGCTGAGCCGACCCGTTACTCGACTCAATCATCCGAAAGTTTCCGGACATTGAAGGCACGACGATCTTTGAGCGTCTGATGGCTCGCCCGCCCTCATACACGCTCTGAGTGCTCCAGACTCTAAAGCAGGTGGCGGAGTTTACGATTCAGTGAGAGGCCACCATTCGGAATCTAGGCTCATCCGTCCTCGAATTAGACCCATGGACAACCCCGAGCACTGTCACGAGACGTTATCGGTAAACTGACAGACAACCAGAGGATTCGACTTCGAAAAATCGAATGACCCCCTTAGAACGCGACTAGCGACGACGATCGCCGTCTAGCCTTGTCTCAGGACTCGATGACAACGTACACTTGGCAGGGACTTTGAGACTTTGGCCCACGTCAATGCCTACAACTCGGAACTGTGGCTTGACAGAATCAATGCTTACATTCATTTTCTCGGAGCTGGAGACTCGCTCTCGCGACTATGAGGACACTTCCACTCGACCGACTATTGTTGAGCGAACTACTCCGAAAAGATTCCTTGTATCGACAGTATGTGTTAAACAGATGACATTTTTCGAACGGATGGATCCCGTAGCAGCAGTAGTGGTGTGTGCGAGAGTCTGTGTGTGTGTAGTGAACGTGAGTGTCTGCAAGTTTGTGTGTGTGTCAGAATTGTGTATGTGATGGTTGTTGTCCCACTCAGGGCTGTAATTCGGTTTAGACGATAAGAGCCCTTTTCCCCGTAAAGTTGATGGGCGGGCTGGGGCTATTGAAAAGAATTACACGCACTCAGTGTCTTTGAGAGACTCGTGCGAGAAGTGAGGAGCATGCGAAGTGAAATAAGAGAGTCAGAGAGCCGGAACGTGTGTCTGGGAGATTGGAGACAATGACATGAATGATCTTTGCTGGATGCCTCGATCCGACGGGCTCTCGATTTTTTTCAAGACCCCGGAAGGCAAAGAAAATGATTGTCCCCGCTTCTTGAACATTCAAATCATGACTCTCATGGTATTCTGTGGGGAGATGAGTATGACTTCAGATTGGCCACCTTTCACGGGCCGCCGGCCGCGTCACCGCCGAGACACACACATGACTGCCGTACGGGTGTACGCGACGAGCACCGATCGCAGTGATAATCGATTGACTCGATAGTATTCATTCGATTTGCGAGTCTTACGAAGTTTGGAGGCAGCACCGGATTCTCGGTGTGCCTATGTCGTATGACCGTACATGCGGCGGGAACGGAGCGAAAGACTGAAACGACCCTACGGGAGCCAGAACACAATGAAATCTCCCCCGATATGCGGGGCGTTAGTCGTCGTCGTACTCAGACACCGATTCCGAAGTCTCGATACCGCAGACCCCGCTGGAAGTTAGAATGATCATGGTGTTTCAAAGACGCTGGAAGTTTCGCTCCTCTCGAGTCTGAACGATCTGAAGATTCGTTCTGGTCGGAGCTGGAACTTCCTCAGGAATTCGCGACTTGAGTCTTCATGAGGAGGGCATACAGAGACATCTGCCCTATGAGCTATGCGACCCGAATCTCAAGCTACATCTACTCTCGACCGAATGCAAAAGCCGAATGGAGCTCATATTATCTGAAAAATCTGGAGAGCTTTTCTCACTCACTCACTCACTGAGACAGTTACAATTCCTGAGCCAGGAGTTGCGGTTCGCGACTCGCAACTCGCCATCGGCTATCGTTGATGTGGAAGTAGGATATTTGATGGATGAGAATTATCGGAAAGGTAACGTCAGCGATCCTCCGGCTCGAGTCACCACAGTAGCGCAAAACCGGAATCCAAGAAGAGTCGGAGGGGCCGCCCGTATGTGCTCGGAGTCTCAGCAAAGATCACGACATCATTGTCTTCACTCTCCCGTCAACAGATTCCATTTTTGCAGAATTTTACCCCGCGTTCTTTTTGTACGCGTTTCCCTGTAGACATTACATAAGTACGATTGTACGCCATCACCAGCATTCGTATGAACTTACGGAAAGTACGGCGTACAATCGTACAAGCGTGGAAGCCGAGCTTCTTGTCCAGCTGAAGCTGGATACCCTCGTCCGAGTTAGTGCTCTAAACAACCACATCAACAACAACTACTGCTACGGCAACCTAACGACAACGACGATGAACACTTGAATGGCAAAAACGCTCCGTGCAGTGGACGTAGGTCTTTGAGAGATGTCTTCCGGATCGAAAGAATGTCTAAGGTCCAAGTTGCGAGCCCACAGTCGTGCTCAGAATTCAGTGTTTTTTCGGAAGCGTAAAGAACAGCACAACGTCGTGTGTTTTGGCATGAGGAACGACCCACCTCAGTCGTCGAATTCGGTCGACAGAGTTACGACCGAAGAGGATGACTCCGAGGACGACGAGGAGCGCAGGACGAGATCTCAAGACAGCGGAGAAGAAAACCCACAATCGGCGACCCCAGCATCTGCTGCGACTGCCGCCGTGAAAACGACTCACAACCGGTATCTAGTTCCGTCTACGGCAAACGAAAACGTCGCTCCAGACGGCTCAGTGCATCTACCACAGAAAAGAAAAAGTGTATGCGATGAACCCGCACCTAAACGCAGTCTCCGACCCAAACCTCAACGCACCTCAGATGACAGGTCGAGTCTCGTCGAAACCCCTCACGCAAGTTGTTCAGGTTCTCTCAACAGACCCCGATCGCCCGAAAGCCTTTACCCTCCAGAACCGGAATCAGCTGTTGCGTTCTCGTCAGCGGCCGATTCGGCTCCGAAAGTTGTCGTCAAACGAGCTTTCCTCACTCTAAGAGAGATGCTCGTCAGTCATATCGAGCCGTACGGGCTCAAAATGGGTCGACGACCACAGAAGAAAACGTCCATGTCACAGCAGCTAGAGGATAGTAGAAAATCTTCGATAGACATCGAAACCCCGGATTCGATACTCGTTGGATTGAATATCAAAGAAATCCTCAATATTCATTCTTTCAAGATGCTCCCAAAAAACTACCAACAGAAGCTGTTATCGTTATTGCCTCCTGTCGATCGGAAGAACGACGGAAACATGGAAACAGCTCTCAATAATGAGTTTTTCGCGAGCGCTTGCCAAGAGTGGCGAGAGAGACTTTCTGACGGCGAGCTGACTCCGGAAAATCAAGTCAAACTCAAGTCCGAGTATGAAAAGCTGCTCCGATGCGTCGATCCCTGGAAAATGAAGCATTTCGAAGACTCGTGGGGCAGGTCGCCGTATGAGAACTCGCTCATGGAGAGACAACGCTTCCAGAAAATGCGGGAGCTCCATGAGAAGATGCTCGATTCTAAACGAAAGAAACAAGAAGAGGATAGAATTATCGAAACAGCCACAGCTGCGGCCGCAGCCGCCGCCGCGGCGGCTAATGCTGCGGCACCTACTAGCACGATCGCAACAGTCTCTCCCACGGATTCGGTATCGAAAGTCCTGACGCTGTCATCTGTTGCGAATTCGGCATCGACATCGTCTCTAATTGGAAGGGGTCAGATTGCAGATATTTCCAAATACGAAGGTCTATCCAAAACGACCGCGAGACTGAGATCGAATTCCTTCTCGAGAGATTCCAAGGAGACGAAAGCGACGGCGGACTCGAGCCCTGTGCCTTCGGGAGACGGATCCCCCACGCTACAGACGAGCGCCTCTAGCAGCAAGGCGAAGAGGGAGGCCGAGGAGAAAGCGTTACAAGATGAGGAGAATAAATATTCGCTCCTTCTGCCACATCATCCTTCGTCCCTTCACCGTGTTCTGGCCGAGCACGGTGTACCACTTTCATCGAGTCATCGGAAAAAATGCAATAATCTCGTTCCCATGTCGATGTGCATCTCGGCTAAACGAGTCGCCAGCTCATGTCTCGCACCGGCGAAATGTTTCCTCAGTTGCCCACTTGTGATACCCAGGAGAAGCATCCGATTCTATTTTCATCAAAGTCGACGGTCGGCTCGATCCGAGCAGGCCTGCCGGGAAAGTCAGCTTCGATTCGAACAGGAACTCCGAGCCCTGGACGAGCACCTGAAGCGCCTGAGAGCTTACGCGGCGAAACCACATCAGAAGATGCTCCCAGTTCCAAATGAGGTCCAGGAGTTGTTGGATGAAGTTGTCGGGCTGGTCGAGACCGACCGGATACACGACTATAATTCCTATGCAACGTCGTCTTATGCAACGTCTACCATGGGAACCCCGTCGAGAGATGGGGGAACCACGATAGACGAAAATTTCGGATCTGAGCTCATGTTTTCAGTGGCGACCGACGAAGAGCCCCCCACCGATCTGTCGGATGAGAGCCGGCCACAGACGGCATTCGATAACGACGTTGTGATGAATGAAGAGGGCGACGACGAGGACGACATCAGCGGTCGGAGTAGCCATCATCACCATCATCATCATCATCATCATCATCATCGTGATAACAGACCTGGAGAAAGCGAGGTTTCGCAGGATCGGGAGATGCAGAAAAAAGACAACGAGCTCGAGCTGGACGGCGGAAAAAGCTGCGGCGGCGACGTCGTGACAGGAGACCACTCCGATCATCGGGTGGACGGGCTCGCCAATGTTCGAGAGGCGGATGCCGCAGACGAAGACGACGATGACGACGACGTGAGCGCCAACAACTCCGAGAACAACGGTGACACCAATAACGACGCCGACGACGATAACGATGACGATCAGGAAGACGACGAGATCGAAGTGAAAATTGAAGCGGCGCTCTCAGAGGACGATACGCGGGAAGCAACAACTCCGGAAATGCCGGAAATGTCATCATATAAATCGCACGAAGTAGGAATTGATGGAGCCGGAGGAGACGACGTCGTCGGGAACACGGACGACGACGACCACCACCATCATCATCAGCACAACGAACAGAGGCCCCCCTGTGCAAATGAAAAGAAACAGCAAGCGGAGTTTGTAAATATTTCGATGGAGGCTTCTCCGGGTCAGACATCCGGGGAAGCCCGGAGCGGGGATGACGACGACGGCGTCGTCGATGAAGTAGAGCAGCGGCTACAACAATCAAGCGATTCAACAGCACAAATTAGAGAGGAATCAATTCGAGCCGACTCGGACGGAAGCGAACCCATCACCGCGAAGCCCGCAACCGAATGCGACGTCCCTGCGAAGAACGACGACGACGACTCCAACGATGAGGACGAGGCAATCGACGCCAAGAGTTCCAGTGGGCTCGAGGATGATCTCCGGAAACCATTCGCTGGCGATGGCATCGACAAACCAAACGAGGCGCATAACGATGAATCAGGCAGTGTGATTTGTGAGATACTCGACGAAGATTGTGGCTCCGATCACTCGGAGCCGGAGCCGAGACCCCCTCCGGCTACGGGTGAAACGCGGGCCTTGGAAGACGCGAACGAGGTGAGTCACTCCGGGACGAACTCGGTCGGAGAAATCGGGGCCGACCCGGGGAAGACGGCTAGTCCAAATGACGCAACGATCGCCCTCTCTGCGGAAGTGATCGATGCGGTCGACCCGCGGGAGACTCCTGACGTTCACGAAGCGGAAAAGCCGGATGCATTGCCCTTTCTCGCGGACAAGGCGGACCATCGAGAGACCACACCGGAATCTGACAAGATAGGCGCTGCGGAACCCATAGAATCGAAGTCGGGAAACTTGCGTTCTCTCCCGGAAGACACGGGCGAACTTCCGGGAGAGAATCTTTCGCAACTTTTCGCCTCCTCGACCACGCACCGGCTGTCAGCGATGTCACCGACTCCAACGACAGCGGGGACCTCTGAGACGGTCGGTGATCCCCAGGCTTGGGGAGAAACGAACCCATGCAAGTCTTCGCCCCGACCCTCATCGTCAGAATCGACTCTTTCCGACGAGGACACCGACATCGACAGCAGCAGTCTCCAAGCCGCCTTCGAAACAAACGACGGCGACGAAACCGCATCCGATTCGACGATCGAGGAAGTTTCCCCCGCGCCGCCCGACTCGAGAAACGAGGGTTGTGACCTTGGAGCTGCGGCTCCGCCATCGACGTTGCGTTCGCGGCCCGAAACCGAGCAGATGAACTCGCAGCAGAATAATCAAAGTACATCTGGAATTTGCTCAAGCTCAAAAGATGAAGATGGGGACAACAACGACGACGACGACGCCGCCGACACGTCTGGTCGGCCGGCTTCTTTCGTGACCGGAGGTCTAGTAGCTCCGCCTCTTCCTCCTCGATGTAGAGCTCAAGCGAGCGGATACTCTAATCGGAGACGCCGCCGCGCCCTCAGCTGCAGAGACCTCCTGATTGCAGTGGAACAACGCAAGAAAGGCCAACAACGGAACGGATCTCCATGCTGTCTCCGAGACGGGAATCGAGGAGAACACTCAAAAGGTTGCTTTTGCAAACTTCAGCCCATGCTCCCATGCCAACGATGCGGCGCTTTTTGGCACTCCGACTGCATCGGACCCTCGAGGATTTGTTCCACATGTCTCCTCGTGTAAAGCTCGACGGTGGTCATCACTTCATCGTGTATACACTCCACATACTCTTGTTTATTTATTCCTGGACTTTATGGAAGTTCCTAGGTTCAAAACGTGATGAAATTCCCTTAATCGCTCGCTCGCCGAGCGCGAGCCTCAGGTTATGTGCGGGGAAGCACTTCTATGCGGACGTGTGTGTGTGAGTGTGCGTGCGTGTTTTTCGAAAGAATTCATCAGGAAAACGAGTGATTTGACTCCAACAACGAATGACTGACACTTGGTCTATTCGCATAATACATTGTGAGATTATTGAACCTATGAACTTTGATTAGCCATATGAAAATAGCTGTAAATAACCACGGGGTGTAATAAAGAGTTTAGCGCGCTTCATCGATCGGCTGAAGTTTTGCTCTGGCGAGAGACTTTAGGAACGAATGATCTCCGACTGCACTCTCGCGCCGAATCGCAGCTCTTCCGACGCTGATGCAATGATGCGCAACACTTGACAGAAACGCGGAGGTATATTATGGAATTCAATAAATGAAGATATATATCCGGTTTACAGACGAGTTGCATTTTCTCACGTCGATGCGCACCGTTCCGCTGGGACCCATTTCTTGGCATTCGGCCGAAGGAGGATGCGTCGTCCTAAGGAATTCACTTCAGAGAGGGACGGGCAGTGCGACGGAATCCATCGGAATCTCGTACGGCCGGCTGGAGCAATAATTAGCTTGGGTCCTCTGCGGACGAATCCGCCCCCCTCTAGCCCAGGGGCGATAACCTCCCCGCTCTGACGATCGTGGTCTGGTGTCTGGTGATAGAATCCTTTGCGTCGTGAGTGTATCGAGGGAAAGCCTTGGAAACCCAGGAGTGATCGAGGACTTGGCGACACTGATGGCTCACGCACGTTCCGTACTCTCGCCACTGGCGTAACGTGGTAGCGTAGTGTAACGCAATGTAGCGCCCGGGGCGGATTCCGGGATTGTCGCCCCTTCTCGAGAATTCCATTCCACACGCGAAATCCTCCGGGAAAAAAACGTTTCGCAGCCTACCACCACCGAAAATTTCGGCCCACCCCAATGATTTCGAACTCAGATTCCATTCATCAAGCCAAATCAATATGGAATCCCCTGGTTTGTTTTCGGTTGCCGCGTACGGGAACGGCGCCCCTGAAACTGGCAGGCGAAATAGCGCCCGGAGCGGTCCGCCTCCCCCACCTTCCCCTTTCACGCCAACGACTCTCGTCGCTCGTGCTGACTGAGCTGCGATTGAGGGGCTCAGACTAATTGTCACTATTCAGGTCGAATGGTGGCATTTCTCTCGAGAGACAGATGTTCTCCTTAGAGGGGTCTGATCTGATACCGAGGATGCACGTCTACACCTCATTGTCGACGCCGACGGCACGTTAGCCTCCATTTAATGACGAGTGTCTCTTCTCCCCTCGGAAGATCCATAGATGAGCTCGCGATTCCCATTCACGGAGAGATCAAGAAAAAACACAGACACGGGTTTCTCGCTTTACATTTATACACCATCGAAATGCTCATGAGGGCAATCGGAACATTCTCGAAATTCACGTTCATTTCCGAAAGGCAAAACAGCTGAAGGAGATTAAGTCGTCGAAGGTCAGCACCATTCTGGTTCAGGGCTCCGTATTCTCTCGACGTTCGGAGCGGTCACTACCTGATATTGGTTTTGCTGTGATGCTGACCTCGCTCTGTGCTACAATTTTGTCATCTCGCTGCTGATCACATTGGACTGATGATTTTGACCTGCTGGTCCTTGTGCGGCTGACGACGAGGACGATGTTGCGACCAATTGTCCCGTCTGAGGATCCCACGTACCGAAAACGGTGGATCGAGATCCTGCACTTTCACCGATAACAAACGGCGTCTCCTCGAAGGGTCTCATCGAAACGACGGCAACGTTCGCTGAGCCGGGTTTCGTAAGAGACGAGACTGTCAAGTTACCCAAGGATGTGCGTACGTACGATGCACTATTCCTCCCAAGACTCGAACTTGTCGCCCCAATAGCACCTATGGTGGACGACGACGCCGAAGCGGTGGTACGTCCGCCCACGGAAGCATTCGCTACATCAGGATTTGTCAAGTGCGAACCACTCGAATGACTCCGTCGTGGAGGAGCTATCATGCTGGGGTCGACGCCGCGAGCGATGCTCCCACTGAGAGAAGCCGGAGCGCTATAACCCCCACCGCAGCCTTCATCCTGGAGACCCGTCCCGCCGCTGGAACACCCTTCGCCGCATCTAATTTTCAATCTCCTCCAGAAATCGAACAATGACTGCTTGAAGACCGAGAGGGACAGCGGACCCCCGATGATCGAACACAGTTGTGCTGACGTTTCGGCGAAAGACGTCGTCAGCGGGGACACGTAGATCGGATATCCTGAAAAAATGATATCGCGAGGCTTACTTGGGAGGAAAGCCAAAAAAACGCGATGGGCATCGGTGGTGGTCGGCGAGTACTCACCGATGGGTTGATCACACGAAGAGTTGATGATGTTCCTCAACGCTTGTTTTGCGTTCTGTATAGAACCTCGTTCAGGATTCCGGTTCCGCAGGTAGACCAGTTCCTGCTGTTGCCCGGCCCAGAGCCCCCGAACGCATTCTCTGTTCACCTAGAAGCCGAATTTCTCCTTAGGAGCCAAAATCGCCGCAACCATCGATTCACGCATAACTTCTCGAAATGCTCGAACGCCATGCCTACTTTTATGACCCTGAAGTCGAGGAATCGTTTGTTGAGCGTGATGATTTTATAGTCATCGGAGTTCTCATCGGCGACGTGTCTCAGAGCCAGAAGTGATTGTACGCCGCTCAACACAGCGTTGCGCCATGCGGGATCGGCTTCATGGGAAATGACGAGAGTATTCGTGTAGCTCTCGATCGTATCGAATAACTCCTTCGACCTCTCGAGCTCATCGGACGACATGAAGTGATCTTGGTGTAGCTTGAACGCCATCCGCACGGCCGGAGCGACGACTTTTTTTATGAGATCCATGTCGAGGAACACCCATTCGTCCCTCACGGAGGCGATCCGAATATCGCCTTTGAATAAGGCGTGTAGTCCGAATAAGAGATAATCGACACTTTGCAAGGTGTTATGCGAAGCCGAGCCGAGAGCCCGCCGCGCGAGAACACTCAGAGCGAAGCATAGCGAAACAAGATTGGAGTTCTGCAAGGCAAGAGACGGAATTTCTAAGTGTTGAGAACGCCGAACGACTCTCTTCGACCGGCGGGAAACCTCCCTCAATCCTCCTGCTGGGGAGACCCTGCTCCCAACACATGATGGGCTAGATCGGCTCACCTTGTCGTTGGGCATTGTGCGATGTTTCCCGAGCCTGCCGACACAGTACTGTATCCAAGGCAGATAGGTTTTACAGAAACTGTTTCGGGAGATGCCTGTGACTCGGCTGTCGAAGTCGGCGTCATTGGTCGGTGTGAAGACGGGATCGAGTTCGGCGTATTGTTTATTCAGTGTGGGTAAAAGTGCGTCTTGGATGCTGCGATTTTCGAGCCAGTCATCGAGTTTCTTGTTCGTGATGGCGTAGAAAATTACTGACTTCACATAGTAAGTCATCAATGCTCGGCGAACTTCGAAAAGTTGGAGCAAGGGGACTGCGGAATTGTCCGAGATCGAATAGCCTTCCAGGATGTATTTCGCGGCTGAGACCTTCAAGAACAGATCCGTTGAGATGGTCTCGAACAGGAATGATGATTTCTCTAAGAGGATGGGGAGTACTCGAAATCCTTCGAGCTCCTCCCTTTCCATGATACGTACCTCCCACGCGAGCCATCTTTGGTTGAACGCGGCATTTACGGAGAGCATTCCCATCAAGTGGCCTGGCTCGCAGCAGCAGCAGCCTAGATTGTCTCTGACTTCTTCGGTGATAGCTTCAACCTCTCGTTGTTGACAATATGTACCTAGAGGGGGAAGAATCAAGACTGAGGGAATTTCCAAATGCACGAGCCCTTCCCCCGAGACAGAGGGATGACGCCGGGATTATCGCAGATCTCGCGGAACGGGATCCTACCTCGGAACTCGAGGCCCCTCAATTGGAAAGTGACGAGTCCGTTGCCGAATTCGATGATATGCACGAGGCAGTTGAGATTCTCCGACGCCAGTACGAAACAATCCCCCTGGGACACAGCTCCCCATCTTCCCAGCGCGAGATCACCGTAGAGAGATCTCTGGAGAGATCGTGTCAGATGCTCATAGAATATCGAATTGAGATTGTTGTCATCGGATCCCGGGTTCCGCTCCAGCTGAGACGACAGGCACGTGTTGGAGTGATCAACTCTCTTCGTACTGAAACGAATCATGTCCTGTCGCAATCCCAATGGCACTAAGCATATGTGTACATACATGTGTAGACTGGAAGCACAATGAGGGAGCGTTTCCCCCAACTTGGGGAGAACTTACTTGTAGTCTCGCTCCCAGAACTTCACCGGGCGTACATAGCTGGTGAAGAAGATTGCACTCCCCAAAACCGGTGACAGCGGAGCTGATAGAGCGGAAGACACGATGGCCTGAATGAAAAGCATCGCCGAATGCGGGACCGAAAACGGCTGCGCGAAGGCATGGAAGGCTGAGCCCCAGGTTATCTGCCATGGAGCGATGTAGGTGATGACGAAGCGCAACTGCAACGGAACGATATTGGGTTTCAGGAGCAACCCACTGAGGTCGGATCGTTCGAGCCGCCCCCCGAAAAATCAGGCTGGGTGAATCGACGCTTGAAGCGGAATCATATTCTCCCCGACGAGCGACGCCTCGCCTAGAGCGATCCCTCATCGGAGGATCGTGGAAGCCTACCTTCAGAAGCAGCTCGTGGACCTTGTTCGTGACAAGGAGCATCACGAAGAAATTGAGCAGCAAGGGCTCTCGGTATTTCTCTCTGAGATCGTACTTGAAAACTAATAACGTAAAGGTGAGTGCGGTGTAGTATTTTGAAGGGTCGGTGAACGCTCCTCGGAGACAGCGCATGGAGCAAACGACTAGGACGAGACAGGCTAGACTGTAAATGAGAAAAGGAAGGTTCAGAGATTATCGGAGCGCATGAGCGAGCATCGCTCCGTTCTGTTCTCTCACGAAAATTCATTGCGAGCTCGCAACACTCACGGTAAGCCAAACTGTTCCAGCAGGGACGCTAGAGACACGGTCAGGGCACTGAGAACGACCAGGGGGTAGAGGCAGTTCTTCTCGAAGAACCACATCAAGACTTGAACTTTTTCGAACCACATGAGCTGCGCGGGTTCTGGAAAAATTTCAGGCATGATTATTTTGCCGCGGTGGAGCCGATCAGTTCCCTTCCGCCCTCTCCCATCGTCGAGTATCTTACGTGAGTATCTTGCCCTACCTGTACTCTCGTATACGTCATACTCCCGCGTTTTGAGGAATGGCACTGAGCAGCACAACCATGGAAGATGTTTCCTCATTTGGGGCAGAAGGTAATGGAGCACAACACCCCAAAATATTGCCAATGAATGAAGAGCTATTTGTAAATATGGTTGCAGAACGGTGAACGTTGTTGAAACATGAATGGCGAAAACAAATACTGTCATCAGAAAGACATATATCGCGTCCGTCTTCAGGCGAGCGAGCTGGAAAAGAAGACGAATCGAATGCTCAATCCCGAATCTCTCAGGAGTCGCTGAATTTCCCGCCGCACTCTATCTTAGCTCTCGACAGGGACGAACATATCAACTTACGACCGTATCTTTCATTTGTTGTGGTAGAGGATCGACGAACTCCTGCATTTTCCACTGTTGCCTTTCTTGTTCGTCCCTCAGGGTTTGAGTCGGCGCCTCGACTTTTGCGACGGTTTGCGGTTGTTGGATTTGTTCTTTACCGGTGGTGAGGATGCTGCAGACCAGCTGCAGAAGCACCGTCGGATCTGATTGTGACCGCGAGAGATGATATGATGAACTGACCAGAACTCCGCAGAATATCGAGAACGCTATATTGTTCGCTGGGTTACGATTCTCCTGAGAAGGGGAAAGAAATTTTTGAGCCTCGATGCGAGAAGAGTTGTCGTGAATTTCATCTTCCCAATGGAACGTTCTCGAGTAGTCGTCTTCCCCAGGGCGGATCACTAACCAGGAGCGCAGTGTAGCAGAGAGCGTATAAAATTCCCGTGACCAATAGGCTCCGACTCAGGCAATAGACAGCTGACATCGGGCCCGTTGCGGCCGTTCCACCGAATAAATGCATGTCCACTTGCTCACAGAGATAGGTCAGGAATGTGTTCACTTGCGGCAGGAGACCAAAGCTGAATATCAACGGGAAACACAGCACAAACACTGGAAATCGGAGAGAAAGGCTCATCTTTCTGATATTCATCGAGCATCGTCGAGCCTGAGAGAATAATTCACAGCGGAAACTCACCAATGAGAAAGTTCTTGATGCTTATCACACCCTCGGGCGTGCATAATTTCCAGTTGTACACGGAGACTTCCGGGTAGTTCAAGTCGGACTCCAACACTTCTTTGCTCACCAATAACGCAATGCAACACAGACAGAAATAAACGGGTCTACTGTACAAAACTAGATGATTGTATCCGTGCGTCGGAGATGCGGCATCGGGCTGAACGCTTTTCAACAAACTGTATTGGCAGCTCGCAATCACGAAGCAGAATATGAAGGAACTCAGGTCGACGAACAGTCCTTCCTGTAAGCACCAGGAGCCCAGAATCGCTACGAGAACCGCCAAGAGCACCGAGAAAACGTTCTCACACAATGTCACGTTTCGGTCGAGAACCGCCATCAGGGTGAGGCGGTCGAAAGCGACTTTCACTGTTTTCCATGGTAGGAGTTTGAACATGTAGTATTGCCGTGCCCTGGGTACGTCCTCACGAGCGTCGATTCTACCGTAGGGATGGGAAAGCGACGACGGTGCCCCAATTTCAATCTCCATGGGCCCTATGTCGCCGAAGAGGAAGCGGCTGGCACTGGAAGTGATTATTACGGTGAGGATGGAACGATAAAAATTTTATTGATCACTGAATCAAATCAGGGCAGTCAAGCATCACAACGAAGTCTCTGCATGGCTCCCGCAATTCTGACCTGGGACGTTGTAATTGCGAATGTAGGGTGAGGTTGTATTCGCAGTTAGTGTGTTGGTGATGACGGCTTTCGCGGGTAGACGCGAGTCGCGGGAAAATCACTTGCCGAACGGACTCCGTAGCGTCTGCCTGAGTTTGTCGTTCCGACGAAGGACCCGCGACCATCAGGGTCGCTCCTGAAGATGATGACGCCTGGGACACGGCATCCCACGGACCGTGCTCCGATTCACCAGCGACCTAATGATGAAATGGCCCGAGCGGTCAGGAAGGTTCCAATTTCCCCGAGATTCGGACCGATACACGCGACACGACGACCCCGAGCGCCTGACTCACCCTGTCCGTCGCTTTGAGCCTCGGTCTTCTCGTTTGCATACCCTGCCTTGAATTGAGGTACGCAACGTAGGTGACCGGAGACGACGTTCCACCCCCTTCGTTGAACGTGTAAGCTAACCAATTTGTTTCTTCGTCACGGAAACAGTGGACTGCCCCCGGTGAGGTATCGTCATGACTCCGAGCCAAATGAGTGCCTGGAGTGGCCAACATCGAGGCTAGAAGGTACGACGGAGGGGAGAAATCATCTTCGGCTTCTGTTACAGCGGAAGATGCGGCCGCTGCGGCAGCAACCGCCGGTGCAGCTGACGCCACCGCCGAAGTCGTTGCTGTCGATGAGCTCGCAACCGCTGTATCATTTGTTTTGGCGTTCAATGCAGCTGTTGCGCAGGCCACGACATCCGGAGCTAGAGGGACAGGAGCACTGAGAGTTTTGAGAATTCAAACCCTTGCCAAAAGAAAATGCGCAATGACCTAACTGAGGGAACTGAGCCTACCGAACGATGTCGATGCATCGGGTTCGCTCCTAGTGGTCTCGGTTCCAGCACCTGATGATTTCCTGCTTTCCGGATCCTTGCCGGACTCCTTCCTCGAAGAACCGCTCGCAGGTGAAGCTCTGCTCCCAGACGATTCGTTTTCTTCGTAACTATCGAACGTGCCGAAAACGCGGAGGGCTTCCTTGAGTTTCCGCACATCTCTCGACGAGACGTCGTCGTCTTTCTTGTTGAGAATCTCCCACAACCGCAAGATTTGACCGCGCTGCAGAGCAGTCATCCCTGCGGGCTCTCTGGTGCTTTGCGACGAATGGCGGGATGATTCGCTCGGCTTCAGGGACGGTGTAGTCTCATCGGGGGAGCTCACCGAGCTACTGTGGAGGAGGAAATAAATTCCAGAAACGATCATTATTCTCAAGCTCTTGACTCGAGCGCTTGCGACAGATCAGAAATTAATCGATCGATAATAAGCAGACGAGGTTAATTATTACCGATCGGGGTATCGCGTCGTCACTGACCTGGAGCTTTGTGCGTCTTCTTCGTTTGGGGGGAAGGACCATTCGAAACTTCCCTGTTGATCCTTGGCGTGTTTATCGTCGCCCGACGTAGTTGCAGCTGGAGTCGTATCATCGCCTCTTCGACTGCTCCGTGACGAACTGCTCTTCGGAATCGCTCCGGAGGCTCCTTCCTTCTGATCATGACTCTCCGTTGGGTTGAAGATAACCGAAAAATTTGTACTGCTCCGTTCGGAATGCGTGTCCGTCGAACTCTCATCGGTGGTTGTGGTTTCTTCAGTGCCGCTGTCGGTTGAGCATTTTTTTCTCCGTCGCTGCCTCTTCTTCCTCGGCTGATCCCCGCCCTCCTCGCCGGGCGGAAAAGTGACGATATCGGAGTGCGAAGAGGCGGCCATCGCTCCGGCGGCATCATCCTCCTGAATGGTGACCTCGGATAGACCTCTCCGAATGTGGTCCATCGATCTGTTGGGAGGAATAGATTGGGAATACAGGAATTTCAAGGATTCGTTTCAATATCGCGGAGGAGGCAGAGCTCGATCATTTACCTCCGAGGAATCGCTCCCGGTGGTGGCGGTTGGGAGGAAATAGCCTCGAGAGAGACGGGATGGGATGGCGGGATCCCCGACGATATTTTCTTGTCGCCGTCTTTCTGACTCGAGGTCTCCATCTCCGAGTGGGCTCGGCGCACGGGCTGACGGTCCTCGCAGAGTTTCCGGGGCGAGGTGCCCGCCGTCTGGGTTCGGGCCCTTCGTGGAGGAGGAACATTCTTGAATATTCTGTGTGTTTGCTCTCCGCAGTCACATGCGATCCAATGTTTTTCTCAATATAGAGGATGACAATCATTATTCATCACGTTCTCACCTCGCAACGCTGGGATCTTGCGACATGAAGCCGAGTTCTACGCTGCCCGTCATCTTCATGAGCGGATCCGCCGAGGTCGTCTGGATGAAGCTACTGAATTGACCTACTGGGCAATTGACACTGGCGGGGGGTTGTTGAAGACTGGTCGACGACGATAAGGCCGTATCTCCGCTATGTGTACCGTGACTCGGTTCATCGGTCAAGCTTGCCGTCACGCCAGACGTGCTAGCGGTTTCTGTGGAGCAAAAAGCTGCGGAATCCGCGCCGCTCGTTCATGATCAAGACCGACATTGGTGGGACAGAGTAATGCTGACCTTGTTGTTGGACTTTCCGTTGACTTTCAGGACTCAGAGTCGACCTTACGCTCTGCGTTCCTCCGACGCCACGATTAGCACCGATAGATCGTCTCGAACCAACCGACGAGGCTCCGGAGTTCCGTCGAGCAAGTTGAACGGCTAGATCTGAAGATAAGCCAAATATTCATGGTGAATGACTGGGCCGAATATCAGCGGCATATAATTCAAGAGAGCTCCAGTGGCGAGACTCACCGACACTGTTGGTGTCTCTGTGCGAAATGAACTCGATAGAGTCCATTCTATTGGCTAAGGACAAAGAGTTGCGAGAACTACACTGAACGGGAGGGGTTTCTCCGTCAGGTCTCGGAGGAAGCAATTGAAGCTCGACTCGCTCCCTGGAAAATCGCGGGTCTACGTCAGCAAAGGGGCATGTCCAAACTCCAAATGCGTCCTCGAAGATACGGTGGTTACAGCCCCAGGCTCAAAGACTCACCCATTGCTAGGTTCCTCCGGTTCTTGTACAGCTTCCCCGGTATCGAATAAACGATGCAAGCGTATATTCAAGATTTTCAGCGATGTGAAAAGAATCGTCACCAATGTGATATAAATTGTCCACATGATCCGGATAGTGTCAGCAAACTGTAATTATTGGGTACAACGGAGTTAAACAATTGAGCGCATCAAATCGATCCGGGAGCATGGAGAACCAGAGATGCATACTTCCATCTCCAGCGGACTCACCATGTAAAGGCAGAACGGTAGAGCGAGCAGGAGTAACCACAGGTAAAGGTGTAGAATATTGGCTGCATGACCTTGGCGGGGATCGAAGAACCAACCTCCGGTGAGTGACGCCCACACTCCTTGGCGCACTATTTCCAGAAATTGGGACCCCATTGGATTCTGAAATGGTGCGGGAATGGGAAATCGAATATCCAAGCATAATCTTCTATCAAGTGCGAAGAATTCGTGACGAGGGGATCACTCGCTAGAAGGGACTGTCGGCCGCGATGATCGACGACCGGATTTCTGACCCGAGACGGCGCGAATTATGCCGCCGCATCGACATCCTCGAGACCGGCCCGGATGGGAAGACATTCCGATTGCGAAGCATCGGAGTGAGTCCGAAAGTGTGTCCGGACTCCGGGGGAAGATTCGAACAATGCCTCGGAAGGAGCATCGATCAAATTTCTTCTACTTCCGCTCACTGGCAGAGACGAATATGGATCTCGATAGAATCATTCCCTAAGTCGGAAAAGAAAATCAGAAAGTGTCTGGGAACTGTTCTGGGAAAGAAAGTGCTCTGGGAGACCCTTCTCGGCTTTCATACGCGGTCAGCAGCAGTCGGTGATCTGAAACCATCGATCTCTGTAGGATCACGAGGCATATCAGGGATGCCGCGCAAGAAACAGTTCGAGAAACCCTGCTGAAAGCAAGACAGCGTATTCTGCGGAAACCCCTGTAAGGAAAGGATGGGGCAGCTCATTCACATTGGCTCCCCGATCCGATAAGAGACCATCCGACGAATTCGCCTGATTTCGACGCGAGACCACGCTATCGGACACACGATAGCATTCTGCGTGGAAAATGACGATCGTTCCCGTAGAGAATACGCCAGGATGACGTCCCTGCATTCGTGTCATGGAGCGACGGTCGTCTCTCTCGTGCTGTCTGCCATGGCTGTTCGGAGGCCTCTGGAGTAGAGGACGCACACCTCGAAACTTCCAGCCTGATACGCACGGAAATGGCGGATCGAAGATATCGGATGCGGCGCGCCATTCACCGGATTCAGGAGATGGGATGGCTTATCCGAAGCCCTCGCGACGAGCTCGCGCTCCTGTTTTAAGCAGGGAGCAGCTCTTGGGCTCATTCATAGGCTAAGCCTGAAGTATCGAATATTCTCAATTGCCCACGGTGACACAGAAAATTGCCGGTCCTGCATTATTGTCTTCCACGAATTCCACACGTTCCCAGGACTCTGAATTCCGCACCAGCTCCCTATGGAGTCAAAAGTCGTCAGGGTTCGGTGGGCCCGAGACCCGGACGTCACGACGAGGGCAAACCTCTGGGAGAGGATGACTGCATCCTCCGCAACATATGTACTCAGAGAGTCTGTTCCCCGGAATCAGAGCGCACGTTGAACTAGGCGAAGTCGAAATGATCCTGCAATCGGATTCGAATCTCTAAGCGAGTTGTGCTAGCCTCAGATGCCTTTCTCAAATAGTGAGCTTCAAGGTTCGGGGCAAAACTCATGGAGCTTTGCTCATGACTCATGACAAATTTCTCGAGTGTGGTATGTTGGGATTCATTCATCTAAGGAAGTCGAGCTCGAGCAGATCGACGAATCGCTGGATTGAGCTTGGATTCGCCTCTCGCACCATCGGGCACGACTTTTCATCCGGTAGTAGGGAACTTAATCTCTACAGTGTGCATCTCCGGCACTTTCAGAAAATTGACGTTTTCATATACTCCGAATAGTCGGAGCTTGCGGGATCCCAATCAGCGTGCGATAGGTCTGAACAGCTACGCGAGCCTCGGGAACTAGTTCCACAGCGCGTCTGACAAGTCCTCGACTCCTCCTGGAAAACTCCGACAGGCTTTCATGAATCAGCTCCGAGCTCTGTTCACGAGACGACGTCGAGATTTCTCGTCACACAATCGGAGCTCGGTGAGAGCTCAAGGGGAATCAGAGAATCTTCAAGGCCAGGCAAGAGTGAGGATACGAAGCGGAACGAGAACATACCTCCCGTGAGCTTTATCTTCTGTCCACTGTTCGGGAAACTGCGGATTAAGCCGACACCAACATCTCACGAAATTCACTGTCGTCAGAAACCGACACCATTCTTGACGGCCGGCACTCGGTTTCGGCTTCAGTTCCTTCTAACCGTCGGGATGTTCCCGGTACTCGAGATAATTGTTCCTCTGAGATTAAAAGCGAATATTGCCGAGGAACTCAAAGATATTGTTTGAAACAAATGGCTTTTTCCTCCTCTCTTGCTGTTCGTCGGAACCAACTGTAAATAATGCTCGAGAGAGAAGAGAGTGAGCTAGTTCGATTCGAGAACCCTTCTCTTGTCGGGACAATCGTTTCCGAGCCTTCCCTCTTCCTCCTCGTCTACTTCTCGTTTCAAAGAGAATGCGGCATGTCCCCCAGTCGTCTCGACATGCGCTCGTCTCAAAATATTCGATGTTTGTCTCTTTAGGATCGGATGAACTGCTCACTAAAGCTCAGGAATTCTATTGGCGGGCGTTTTTGAAATCGCAAGATGGCGTCTGCCAAAGTTCTCCTAGAAGGAATTTCAGAAGGATCTCGGAAGAAGTGACAATCTCACAGAAACAAAGCTTTTTGAGGGCAGAGTGCGCCAGCAAAAGGTAATTCTCCTGTTCCGTGACGTCTCCGACCGCTAAGAGAACTTCGTCCCCCGACAAGTCTCTGTGACTCCGTTCGAGTCGGGGAAAAGGCTCTCAGTTTTCCGCCTGAGCCCATCATGAGTCCGACTTTGCGCGTGTCGGAATCGGCCTCTAGGAGACATGTCGCCGAAAAACCATAGCTTTTTTCTGTTTTCGGGGAAGCGCAGCTTTCACTTCTGGTTCGCGAGTGTCGCCAGAGATTTGGACTCCCGGTCGACTCATCGCCACCGCGAGGTCCTGGGTTCGAATCCCAGGAGAAGCTTATTGAACTACGAAATTTTATGGAGTGTATCGGCTCTTTCTTTCTCCCTCCAGCTGTCAGGATCGTCGGATCCTATCGACAAACGAAATCCTCCCGGTTTTGGAACTCCTTGAAGTGAATGTCTCTGAAGCGGGCACGACTTCACCGTGTGCGCATTCAAAGGCTTCGAGGAGTGAGGGGGAAAATCATACGGGGCTCCCGATCCGAGCAAAGCGCTCGATTCATTATCTAGCTCTCTCGAATTCATTCTTAGCGAGAAATTGCCCGAATCATCGGTTACAAGGCTTTGCCTCCATTCGAATCCCGTATCTGAGTGCGAAGAACCATCGCAAATCGCAGAGCTGTGATCCACACCCGTCGAAGATTGTCTCGCGCTAACTCCAGATTCGAAATAACTTTCTAAAATCGATAGAATCCCCCCTCCCCCAATCGCATCCCGAAATGTATCTTCATGTGAATACCCAATGCCCGGGTGGATCCACAGCGCGCCTCAGTGGCTCCCTGTGAGCGAGCCCTCAGACCCAGTCCGCCACACGTCCTCGAGAATTGAACGAACGTATCATGATTCTCGGCGAGGATCGTATTTGGGAGAATGATTCCAGCCGAACGCCCTCATGTTCCCCATATTGAATTCCAGACGGCATGGCCGAGCGATCGGTGCGGAAGCGCAGTGCCAGTCGGCGTTACCTAGACTACCAGAATCTTGATGACTCGGAATTCGCAGATGAATTCCCGAGTAAGAGCCCGGCATCGACGGTGGGTGGTGCGAAATTCTATCGGGTAATCCTTTGTTCGAGCTCCAGCCTCTAGAATAGCGAACGGTATCGATTTCAGAGTCCTACCAAGAAAAAAAGAGTCCTGGCCACCAAAGCGAAGCACCCGAAAAAGGGCGCCGCTATGAAGATCGAGAAGAGTGACTCTCGGGGGAGCAGTGACAGGGAGAACGAGGTAAGGGGAGCTTCCCCTTCCTCAATATCGATTACCTCTATCGGGCAATTCACTAATCGAAGGGAATCCCACGCAGATAATCACCAAGAACAAAGCGAAAAGGAAGCCCGCCTATTCAATCGACTATATCGACGAATTGGCGGGCCAGGAAATCCGATGTTCCCTTTGTGAGGACTTCATGACGACGAATCCGCAGGAAGTAATATATTCCTCGCTCAGGCTGCTCATCCTAGAATATCGACGCTCACCATTCATGATTGACTTTGCGGGGCATTTATAAAGTTTATAGGGAAAAAATCCCTTGTTGCTTGCAGGCGAAGGAACACCTCAGACTAAGGCATTACTACATAGCGCGAATGAACAGCAAGCTGCCCTTATCGATCAAGGAACTTCGTTCGGCGCTTCTGCTAGCGAGTAAAGATGAGAACGTGGTATTCGAATGTCGGTGCGGAAGAACGACACGGTGGCGTCAAACGTACGGCGATCATCTGCTCAAGTGTCAGCAACATGGTTACGAGTGAGTTTCGCAGATAACGATGAGCTATTCTCGAGAGCGATCGTAGATGCTCGACTCTCTCAATCGCCGGAAGGAATATCGTGTCTCAGGAAGCGTTCTCTTCTACATATTGTCCTCGTTCTCCAGCCTTCTCATCGATGACAGTTGTTCGAAAGAGATTCAAGAGGATCGAGCGAATGAACCAATTGTAATTGAGGGCAAACAGAAGCGGAAGTCCGCCATCAAGGCAGCCACTACGTTCAGTCAATTCGTCGAAGATGAAATAGATCCGAGGGCTAAACACGATGACGACAAAAGAGAGCCCGTGGCGAAGTCCAAGGGAGAGGATGACGATTTCAAAGTCAGCGAAGGTATTATAGTATGGAGAATGCTTGCATGCGTCGGGGAACTCCATCCGACTAGGACAATAAGATTGACGGGACCGAAACCCGATGTCAATTGCAGGCGAGAGCTCGGACCCTGATGAGGAATACGATCACGAGTTGGATGCTGATGACTACGAGCCCGCCGAGAAGACGAAATCTCAATCGACGCAGAAAGTCTTGGAACCTTTATTCAACGAATTTCAAGGTATCGAATGGGAAGCTGTCGTAGAGTTCATCCATTGACCTCATTCGAGGCACTCCCGGGAGGATCGTAGCGGGAGAATCTACGATAAGTTTCGGGAATCTTGTTTTCCAGGGAAATATCGAGATCCAATTCCAGTCCCTATTCCGGATGAGGAGAAAACTCGCTGGAAGACGGCTTTGCACAAGTACGGTCGGATCAAGTGCTTGGAATGTGGGGTCTCCTATACAACTTCTCTCGGCATGGACTACCATTACCAGCGTTGTAACAAAGTCGAATACGGATACAAGTGCCTCAAATGTGGTCTCTGCTTCACGCGTTCGTGTCACAAGCTCCTCTTCGGCCATCTCTCGTCTTGTTACGAGATGACCTCACGATACTTCGATGTTTCGGGTCGAGGCAGGGCGAAAGTTGCTAAGAATCACGTGTTGAGCAAAAATGACTACACCGAATTCGTCCGACGACATTACCTCGGTAGCGAGAGACAAGGCCAAACGGTTTTCCCGGACTGGAGGTGAATACATCGATATGATATTGCGTGGGAGACCGTACGCAAGATCTTCAAGGGCTCATTTTCTCCGGATTCATTCAATCTCGAGTGATCGTCTTCCCACAGGTACCAAACGAAAATGTGGCCGAAAAAGTCCCAAGAGGACTGTGAGGGCTATCTGTCCCTGATGAAGACTTCTCCGAAGCTCAAGATCGGAGGAAACGAGGAGAGGATTTTGGAGCGTTTCGAAGTATGGCACAACCCACAGTCGAAGCACAACACTCTCTATGTCGGCGGCGCTGTATGGTGCATCAAATGGGTCCCCATGTTCGAAGAATGTGACATCCAGTACTTCATGACCGTCAGTCACTCTAAAGGAGAAGAACCAGTATTGATGCGTAGGACAGCAGCTTCGAAGAGTCTCTCGAAAGGATGCCTAACGCTCTGGAGCTGTGATCGTGGCGGAGACAACATCGAGAATTGTTACACGATATGTCACGATTGGGGCTTTGTGCCTCAAATCGAGTTCTGCCCCTCTAGGAGCTCGACTGAGAACCGACTCTGTCTCTTGGCTGCGACTTCTGAGGTGAGGTTGATTCTCTCGATAGATCTACACCCCCGAATGCAGCATTTCGAATAAAAGATTTCTCCTATCCTAGGCGGGCTTTGTGCGGATACTGGCCCTACCTCGACCGGCGGGGTCGTCGGATCAACTATTTTATCTGAACCCGGATCCTGTGGCGATCTTAGAGCCGCCGGATCTGTCGTCGGGCTCGTGCTGCTTGGCCTGGGATCCGATGCGTGACCATCTCAACCTGCTCGTTGGATACGCGAACGGCAGCGTAGATCTTTTCACGCTGAAGCAGAGGACTTTGCTGCTCACGGAGGACGACGCGTTCGAGGCTTCGAAGCATGTCGGCGACCATGGGATGTCAGTGACGGCGGTTCAGTGGCAGATGATCGAAGAACGGAGGATTGTAGTTAGCGCAGCCCTGGATCCTGATGTGATTGTGTGGGACGTGGACCAAGGCGTCATCTTAGGGAAATACAGGTTCGTTCCGAGAGAGCCTCCGAGCTACGGCGAACAGATATCTAGAGTTGGCAGAGAGAAAATACTGACTGAGACAATGTCCTAAGCGGGAGGATTTCAATTTGCAGTCGAAGCATGTCGAGGGACATGAAGGTCCTGCAGTTCCTTCCCAGTATCGTGGTTTCGTTTGAGGAATCCGTGGCAGTGAATTCCTGTGTGGTTGTTTTTGAGAGCGGCGCCTACAAGAGAGCAGAAACAACGGTCTGTGCTGAACACTTATCCAGTGACATCCGATGCATCCTAACTTTGATTGCGCGGAAACTAAGCGAACCGTTCCTCACAGGTCGTGCTCCACACAGCAGCGACTGCTTACAGACTGGACATCAATCATTGGCGTCACATGCTAGTTACGGCAGACTCGGCAGGGACGGTCACCATGTCGTGGCTGACCAATAGCAACAAGCTGCACAACTTCAAGAGCAGAAATCATCACGTAGTTCTGTACGAAGTGAAACAACGGCTGGCTCCGGGAGTCGACACTCTCACCGAAGAGGTCTGTTGCAATCGTTGCGAACAGGGGCGGATCCAGCTTTTTTTCTTGAGGGGGGCCAAGTCATATTTTCAGGGGGAAAGAGCCGAAAATGATGACGCGCCACCTCGCGGCCCATGCTTTCGTATAGGGATCGAAGATTCTTGGGGGGGCCATGGCCCCCTGCCCCCCCCCCTGGATCCGCCACTGGTTGCGAATGATAAATGCGCAAGGGCAGGGGCGTACGCGGATTTTTGGCGGGGAGGGTCCGAAATGGCGACCCGCTCCTACTTTTACCAAGACAAATATTTGGGAAGGGGGGGGGGCGTCACCCTCCCTCGAGGACGCAATCGTGCATGGGTCATTCCGGGGCAATCGAACTCTCCTTCGAAAGGCCAGGCTCTTTTCGAGCGGAGAGAGTTTTACGGATAAGTCGATCTGCGTCCGAGTTTCTAAGATCGAGATATTCTCATTGCAGGTCGCCCACTCCGTCGGCACCCTCGAGTTCAAAGATCACGCTCCGTCGTGGGACAAACCCATTCAGAACGGCGCGAGGTTGAGCGCTCCCTCGAGGTTGGAGTACCCCCTGAATGCAGTTCTCAGCGTTGCCTTCAATCCTAATTGGGGGACAGATCATCTAGTGGCTTCTGGTCTGAGGTGCGGCATCGTCCGGCTCTCGAAAGTGAAGTACAAGCCGTTGTAGCGCGTCAAGAATTGTGATTTGTTGTTTAGACCCAAAGTCGATTGTTCCTATTGCGGTGCTCCCATCTGGGTCCATTATCTCATGATGTCAGTCATTGGACTTTCTCCGCTGGGAGATCAGGAACGTCGATTCATACTTCCTAAAGTGATAAGCGCGAGACTCCTCTGGATTGTGTTTGTTTTCATAGAGAGAACGGAGCCTATATTTTCAACTGAAAGGTTAACAATACCTTAAGGGAGATGCGAGTTTTACGTGGCTGACTGCCGAGACGTAAGCGATCGAGTCGAACACCTGTTACTTGTTCCGTAAAACGGGCGAGAGCGCCCCTCGCGGAGTGTATCATTATCTTGACTTATCAGAAGATGATATGAAGTAAAGATGTTCTCCTCAAAAAAACTTTCGTTGAAATGTCATCGACCGGTATGATGCCGGTGAACTAAAGGATTGGATTCATTTCAACCCCCCATGTGCACGCATGTACCCTCTCATTTCAAGAGTGAATTGTTTTGCGTTCACAAGTCATTTGCTGCCCCACGTATTTCCAGAGGAATTTCCAGGCGTCGGACGATTCTCTGTCCAACTTGTCGAGACTTTTGCCGGAACTCATACGGCAGGCACCGCTAGCGAAGATTGCCCTTCCCTCTCAGAATGATAGATTTCGGCGCTACCGGGATAGCCGCTACGCCGATGTGTCAGTGAGCTTGCTCCGACTGGCGGCAGCTCGCGAGTCACACTGTCAGTCACTAAGCCGTCACGATGCTTCCGATTCCGGTGTCGGGTCAGTACTGATGCTATGGCGCCTCCGGGTCTGAGAATAGATCTTTCCCCGCAACAGGAATCAGCCGAAAATGTAATGATCGCCAAGAGAGTCCAGCTTGCCTCCTCTTCAACGACGTCTAAACTGTACCGAATAAGCTCCCCCGAGTTCTCGAGACCATTAGTAGCGGAATTCGGCGGCTGCCATACCTCTTTGGGTCACGGAGAATCGCCGACATTCACGGGTCGAGAACAAGGGCTTGAACCCGCCTATCGCGCTCCGCCGGATTCGAATTCAAGCGCCCAATGCTCACCCTCTCTCACACGTTAGAAGAGTATCCTCGCCCGTAGAGACAGCGATTGACGTCATGCGTTCGCCCTCCCCCCTTATGTCTATTAGTGGAGCCGACGAGACCGAGAGTGTGTCCATCTGGTGAAAGCACTCTCTGAGTCCCGTTGCGAGGGCACCTCGGCACTCCGTAGATTCAGAATTATGAGCTTTGAGGGAACATCCAGCATGTCGTCTCTCGTTTGCTTCGCGACACTGTTCGCAATGGCTGCATCCAGCGCAATTCAGCCCCTCATGATGCCCGGAGTGTCTCCCACGCAGGTCAGTACCGAACAATATTGTGCAGCTTCGAGGGAAACTGAGGCCCTCCGGAGCTCGGCTTCGCAGCCACAACTGTCTATCAGTACTCATATCGGGCCCTACCGAGCTAGAAACTGGGTGGGAACCTTGACTCACGTCTCACTCCTTGGGCCCTAGGCCTGCCCTCCATACTTCTCTGACTGAGACTGTCATCTGTTGACACCGATGTCACTCTCTAGGGTCTCCTCTCGGGGAGGAGGAAATTCATTCAGCTCCCCGTGTTCCGACGACGATAGCATTCGGCACCTGTTTAGATTCTTGTCATCGTTCCTCGATGACATAAACAATAAAATAGATGTCGCTCAACTTCAGTGCCAGTATTGGATTTCGACGATGATCACGGGAAGCGGTCTTCGTTCCGTGTGGTTGGAAGGCATTCAATAGAGTTCCGGAACATTCAGAGCGAGACGAGACGCGGGTCATGTATCTGGGCGTGCTGGAGTTGTTCCATTGTAATAGTAACCGATTTGGGGGCGGCCGGGCACTCGATGAATACCGAGCAGAGGAATTTGCTCAGAGAAGACCTAATCATGTCGTATGCTATCGGAGCCTACGATCGATTGATTCCGGAAGCGAACTCCGGAAGTGAAGAGACTAGACGACAAACTCTCGACACGATCTGAAGGTCGCGTTTTCTACGTTTTCAGAACGAAACCTATCTGTGTGTTGGACAGGAGCTGGAAGAGGACGCGAACTACATCAGTGAGTTGATACGATCATCTGATTGGCCGGTTCCACGATCGCGATTTCGATCCCTGGAGGCGGTTCCGTTAGGGAGCCAGACCGAGTCGCATATAAGAGCCCATCTTGAGATGAATTTGAAAGACCAGAGACCCCAACATAGTTATTCCGAGTCGAGTATTCTCGATACTCGTGATGGTTTCGGAAATGAAGGTTGATCGTGATCGAATTATGGAGAGACCACATTCATCGGCGAAATCACTCGAGCGATGTGCGATCCCATGGCAAGGGTCATTTGCTCCCAATCCCGGCCGATGAAATGTTCAGAAGAGCCAAAACGTGTGCAGGGGGGAGGCTCAGGGGGTCACACCCCCAGAAATCTTTTCCGGTTGTAATGCCGAAGTATGGGCCTTGAGCGAGCGCTTCATCGTTCCGGTCGCCTGCCCCCCCCCCTTCCCCGAAAATCATCTATTGTGCGCCCCTGCCGAAGAGCATTGTAGGATGGTGCGGCATCCGAACGAAGGTTCGCCTCATGGGTCGCCGGAGCGCTGTTCGATGCGTAATTAGACCGCGCTGGACCGCGCTTCGAGTTCTACCATCAACCTGAAGACTCCGATCCGGATGAGAAAGCAGGCTCTGGAGGAACGCAGACTCCCCTCGATATACGGGACTAGCCGTGAGGGCGCTGCGCGCCCAGTGGTGCTGTGATGACTTCATGGTGAAAAGGCTTCGCATTTCCTTGAAATAACGATAATTGGGAAGAAATGTGAATATTCAGGGGAGCAAGGTCCGAAGCACCCTGAGATGTCCATTGACCTTTTTGAGGATATTGGGCGATCATTGGAAGGATTTTTAAGTCGGTTCGGAGAGAGGGAAGCGCCGAACACAGGCTCGCTGACAGAGAGACATTGCGATTTGCTTCTACAGGGGAAGCGACATTCGTATACAGCCCGGATGCGGACGATTGAAATCCGCAGATCAGATGCGATATCAGAATTCTGCCCGTGTCTATATTCGAGTTTTAACTCCTTGGATCTTCCGAAAGCACGCTCATATCGGTGATCCGGAGCAGTGAGATTTGAGCGACCGGGAAGCGCGGAGCTCGCGGTATCAGGTCTCGTCAGGTGACCCCACCGTTCGGAGATAGAGGACGACCTCTCTCTGAATCGAAGCAATGTGATTTCATATCCTCCTGACATGCATGGAGCGTGTTGGAACCTACATGCTTCCAGTATGAGGGATTTAGGCGTCATTGGCGGGGAACCGCGCCTTCAGGCCTTCTCCCACTCCGGGATAAGGCTCCCACATTCTGCGCGGAGCCCGCAACAACATACGAATCTCGACATATAGACCATGTCCATGATCTGATCTGTTTCCCATCTCCTGTCCATTCCCGCATTCCGATCAATATTCAAGAAAATTCGTGGGCAGAGCCTTAGTTTAGAAACTCCCGTCGACGACGAGGTTTTCCGGGGGTCAGCGCCGCCAATCATCAATGCCTAAACTCGATAGGAGCACGGTCTCGCTGGCGAAGTCGGATCCGGCGGCCTCATGTAGTGCTCTCGTAGTACCTAAATATCCTTCAGGAGCTCCGGCCGAAGTTCCGAGCAAATAATTTCACTCACCTCGATGCATGCCGGGCAGCTGCGCCACCCGTATTCCCGTATGGAATTTGATCATGATTCGTTCCCGTCATTCGACAAGAGATGCTCCCAGGCATGAAGCCATTTGCCTGTCACAGAGAGCATACTTAAAGATTTTTGGTCCTTATTTTCCAGTCGGCTTCCTGCCGAACGCATCGGCGCACGTAGCCCACCATATCCTGATTTACGGTTGTTCGGTTCCTGGCTACCATCAGAGAGATACTCCGAGAGCGGTATGGGACTGCGGAGAGATGTCTACCGGTAAGAGTTCAACCCTGCCTTGTGAGAGAAATTTCGCCTTGTCATACCACGACCCGTGATATCACGAATTCACTTCGCATTTTCCATATACAGGCCAAGGAAGCGGATACATCCGAGCTCCAGTTTGCGCGGAGGGCAGCCAGATCATTTACGCTTGGGCGCTCGATGCACCTCCGCTGGAACTTCCGAAGGGTATCGGATTCAAAATCGGTGGCGACTCTGGAGTCAACTTCCTCGTTCTGCAGGTGCGTCGACTTCTTTCTTCGTCTGATATTGGGGACTCCAGCCGAGCGTTTGATACAATGAATAACTTCTTCGGTATCGGATATCTGAATCAATTTTTCGCGCTTCGCGACACTCAATGTTTTTCTCGTGCTTCGAGCGCTGCCCGTCACCACAGAGAGGGATATTATTCACACGGGAACATCGATCCTCCGATCTGAGGGATCATTATACGAGAACGCGTTTGCCCTCCATGATTCGTCAGAACTGTGATACGCTGCTCTGGGTCGTCGTCCTTAACCACGAACCGGTGGATATCGGATGAGTTGATCGGCCTAATTATCACCCGATATTTCCAGGTCCACTACGCAGACGTTTCATCCTTCGTTAATGGACACACCGACCGTTCGGGAATCCGTTTGCAAACTGTCAAAGGAGACTCAGGTCTCGTCAAGCGGAGGGCAGGCGTTTATCTCCTGGGCACCGGCGGGATAATGCCTCGGAAGAAAGAGAGTCAGTAGAGCTCGCTCGGATGATTTTAAAATTTTCAGGTCTATGGAGCGCCATTACTGAAATATTGATTACTTCCAGCTCATTTGGAAACGGCCTGCAAAATTGATCAAGACATAACGATGTACCCATTCGCCTTTCGGACCCACACCCACAAATTGGGCCAAGCGGTATCAGGATGGAAGGTAGGATGTCGATATCGAGGTCGTAGGATATTAAGGAGAAAGGGATGGGTCGGGTTCTCCTATATCTGGGGAAGATCTCAAGACTCAGTGGTTGTACTTGAGCCATACGTGGGCGTCTCAGGAATCGATGGATAGGGAATTCTAAACCGATTCTTTCGCAACGCTCCGTCAGGTCGCCCGGGATCAATTGACGAAAGAGAATCAATGGACTCTGATCGGAAAGAGAAATCCCCAGCTACCGCAGATGTTCTACCCTGTGAGTCTTTGAGACAGCGAATTCGAGCCTGTCCGATATCAGCATTCATGCTCTACACTCTACATGCAACTGACTGTATGAGCCTTCTCAGGCGGGTTCTGGATCCTCTCTTGATAGACGAGTAACTCCTTCTCTCCCTAGATCTCTCAAGCGCTGAAAGTCCAGAAGGGTGATGTTCTGGCAGCTCGATGCACGATGTACAACTTCCGTGATCACACCACTTTCATCGGTTCGACGAACAACGACGAGATGTGTAACTTCTACATAATGTATTATGTCGGTGAGTAGAACTCATTCGAAGTTCAGACAATGAGCGATCGCTATCTGAAGTGCCAGTTTGCCAGTCAACCGCTCAGATTCTCTAAACACAGCTCTCAATGGCTCGCTCATTCTTGGATACTCCAATTTTTCAGACGGAGATCGCATCCTCGACGAGAAATATTGCTTCAGCGCTGGCTACCCCACATATGACTGGGTGAGCGATCAAAGGATCATCAACGTTCCGGACTGGGTCGATGCAAGCGCGAGTCAGCTCTGAAGCCTTCCGTGATACGCGACTGGGGATGGCGGATGGGCCGAATCAATCTGAATCTCAATTACCTACAATCCCTGCGGTTCATCGAATGATTTCGACGACGACTGTTGAGAGGTTTACCGCAATGCCTTCGCTGTTGTAGACGAGAGGCGGATGTCTTGTCCTTAAACGCCAGAGCAATGCTGCCGTTGGCGGCCGGGACTGTGATCACCGAAGAGCACTTAATTGTGTCTCCGATGAAGCCAGGGTCGTTCTGAAGCCGATTGAGTTGTTCACTGCAAATCCGACACTCTGATTTCAGTTCAAGTTCCCTCACCGTGAGTTTCCTGTGATCCCGCCGAGCAGTGTTTGGTTTCGTCGCGAGGCCTGATGCCTCCGCCTAGGTCTTGAGCTCTTTTTCGAAGCTTCGTTCGAGGAACTCCCGATACCGTCCGGAATGTAGCTATCCATTGCAACCGACCGTCTGTATGATAGAGATCCACCGATCGGCGACATTGTAATATCATCGGTGGCATGCATCATCTCTTTGATCGAAGTGATTCAACTTCATGACGGCGGCATGATCTGTGCGATCGAATTATTGCATCCCTATGCAGAGAGCATTGGATTTTGAAATGACGGGGTATCGGCAAATCAGATTCAGAACTTACTCGTACAGTAATTTGCGACGGAAAGTGTTCAATGCAGTTCAGACTGCTCACTGTGATGTAGCCCATCGACGAAAGATCTATGTCGTCGTGATCAGAGCTACCTAGAGTGTTATAAAGAGATTGAATCAAATACTAACAAGCGTCAGATGACCGCCATCGCGCTCGTCAGGGTTGCCGATTTTCAACCGTTTGACACGATATGTCTCGAGAGAACATGGAATCTTCGTCGAGCATTCCGTTTTTCCGGTATATCGGAATATTATGTAGATTTTCGCAATTCGTCGGGGAAATTTTGCATCGCCGCCCTTCACGATAGATTCCGTTCTTGCCCTCAGTTCTCGGATCTGGCGGCAGGAAGTTTCAACTTCTGTCGAATGAGCGGTAACTTTCCTAGGCGTCACTGTCACATCGTTCTAAGATTGTGAAGTTTCTGACCTCGCGTCAAACTCATCTCAATTCAAGATATCGCCTCGTTACGTGTTATTGTAGAATTGTATTCGATTGTCTTCGTTCATTCGTTCTTCTTGAATGATTATTATTGTTCTCGTGTGTTCATTTTCGGATCAGCGGAGTCTGGCCTCCCCCTCGAGAATCTCTGTGGCTAATCGTTAATGATGATTTGAGCGCCCTCCATCGTCGGGAATCGGCGAGTCAGCTTCGGCTTTTCGAACGAGCGTGAGAAGATCCCTGCGAAGGGCGCTCGTGAGTGAGCCGAAATTATCGTTGGAACTCTATTTTTGTTGTCCCCAATTAATGAAGATCTCTCGCTGTCATCGAATCACTCACTCGATATCGAGACGACAGAAACCTCGCCATATCATCTCCCCCAATCGACGGTGAATTCCCCGATTGGTCCACGTTGTTTCGAATCTCTCCTTCGGCCTCAAACTGAGGCGTTGATTTGCGAATCCATTCGAGCTCTAATCGTGATGAAAGACAACATGTGGTGTACCGAGAAAACGCCGGCGGCGTTATTTCGGAATTTCTCACTATTCATCCACAGTTGATCCGGGAGTGTCGCTCCTGAGAGCCCCTGTGGAGCTCCGCACGGGGTGGGCGGTCGCTGACCCCAACGGTACGCCACTGGTGGTCACCCTCGAACTCAATGTAGAGAAAAATCCTCCCTCAGAACTCGAAGCATATTCGCCGGCATTTCTCAGTGGAGATCTTCGAAGAGAGAATATGTACCAGTGTTATGAAGATCATAGTATAATTTAACTCATGGAAATAAATTTATTCTGAAGATCTGGTTTGAATGCTCCGCTGTTGAATGACTAGCAATGAGAAGTTCCGCACGAGAGTGGAAGTAGGTTCGGAGAAGTTGAAATAGTGCCATGAGGAAGTTGGATATCGATGAGTCTTTTGCGGGTGACAGACGAGACTCTCTAAAAGATCCGGTGACGGCTAATTCTGATGGGGGAATGATTGATCTCCCAACAGGGAGGAACCGGTCCTCCTCCATCAAGTATTGCAGCGAAGACATGAACGGTCGGTGAGCTGAAGAAGCGGAGAATTCAGATCGACGAGCTTTCGTACGGTTAAATATCTTCTGAGGGCTCGGGGAAAGAGTTTTTCCATGCACTACAGGCATTTCGCATATCTCGAGGCTTCCCTAAAAGATAAACATCCATCTGGAGATATAAGACTTTACCGAGAGGAGTGGGGAGGAGTCCGGGGTGTGAGCAATCAGGAATCGTTTTTATCCAGCGATTCACGGCATCCCAAGACCCGGAACTACCAGCCCCTCTTTCCCCCAGGAGGAAAACCGAGTTTGAGTTCCCAGAGACTAGACCGATTGCAAGACCGCAAAAAAGACCGCTATGTTGGTTCGCGTTGCGCGATGGCCGGAGATCTGGGCGCGCGAATTCTCTTCTACCCTGCCTTGATTCTGGCTGAGTCTAGCGCATATTTGCATGCGGAATTCCGCTTCTTCACGTGTACGGGATGTCGCGCTCCGCTCGTCGAGGGGGCCCGGGATTCTGTGGCGCAGCGTGACGGCCGGAGTCCGTAGAAATATCACATGCTCGTCACAACAGAATCCAGGCGCGCCAAAAAAGATGAAGTCTCTCCCAGGCTCCCAGCAGACGACGAGAGAATTGTGTTCAGAACGTAAACAACCTAACATTTTGTGTGTGGTGGCATCGTCGTGAGGACGCGATTCACTTTGGCGAATTTAGTACCAGAGCAGTTTTGGCGGTTTTACACTTGGTATCACTGTATCATCCAACAATTATACCTCCTCTATCTGTTCACGCAGGAGACTGGAGTAGTATTCGCAAGTTCGGACAGGGTGCGAAGATATTAGGGTGGTGGAGCTTACGATGGCACTTGTAAAGACTGAGCTCTCGAAGGAACTCGTTGTGAACGTCTTGCAGCAAGAGGACGGGAAGGTTCGTTCTGATTGTTTCAGCTGTCAATTTTCGAATTCAAACAGCTTGTCCGAATCAATTTGAAAATCTCTCTTCTCGTGAATCGATCTTAGCATTTATGTATGAGTTAACGACCTCATCGGAGCATCATTTGAAAAATATGAACAATCGGGATTAGCTCGGTGTGTTGATATTCGAGCGTTCACAAGAAGCTACATCTATTCAGTGAAGAGGAGAGACCTCAGATGAGACTCTAGCATTGAAACCATTCTCAGGAAGGCGAAACCGTGCAAATACGGATCGAATCTAACACCATGGGGAGCGAAGTCGATCTGGAAGAAGAAAATCCAACTGTAGATGAAGTTGAAGAAGTTCATGAGAACGTAGTGATGGCAGGTGAGGCGCTGCGAAATATCCTATGCATGTGACAACAAGGGGATACGCGTTCGTCATTCCAGCGGATGCATATTTCGAAGGTTGTGAGGGGACTCGGCTTACACGATATTTGAGAGCAAGTTCCGCCGTCGACGCATGCACGGTTTCGTCGACCCCCAGGGAGAGATCAGAAAGCTCGAATTAGAGGAGTAAACATGATATAAGCCGAATCAGGCTGAGGAGGTCAAAATCTCTATCGGGTGAAGAGTCCATTCTGCCAATCTAAGGACACCCTCGATTTTTTGAGAACCTCCCCTCATCTACGGCTCTTGTGGTCTTCATGATACACGGAAGAGGATCCCTCGACCCCTAGGGACCCGCGCGAACCCCCTTCCGTAGGTCACTGCGAAGCCCTTGATCGGGGGCCGATGGATGAGATTCCGAAGGACAACCGACAGATCTCCGCTAAGAATTGGATAATGGAGGTTGGGAGCCAAAACGATGGGCACCTCATGTATGAAATGGGACGTTCGAATTTGGGGCTTGGTGGGAGTCGAGGCCCTGGGGGCCTGCGGGCTAGACAAAGTTGCCGGTCTCTGCCCGGATTTAGGTCTCATTGTGATGGATCCCTCAAACGATCCAGTCGGGCAGGGGACCCAGGCTCCCGAGATGCGGATCGGTGTACCCTTTCCCGAAGAACTTCGCCGAAGAGAAAGGGCAAGAACTGGTGACACCTGACCTCCGAGGCTCGTCGGCATGAAGAGTGCGCTAAGGGTCTCTGCCCCCTCTCGAAAGTCTGGGCGGAGTTGGCTGGTGCGCCGTGATTCCCCGGTGGGGTTATAGGCACAGGGCACGGTGAACTGCGCAAGCATGAAATTGAGGAACCGACTTCTCGCAGATATGGCTTACGACGAGCGCTTTTCGGAAATCGAAGAAGTAAAGCCTGCGCCAACTCAGTCGCGCTATCACAAGTACCGACAGCGCTGGAGAAACAGTTGGCTGGAAATCCAAGAGTTCCAAGGGTGAGTGAGAACAACTCCGCTTTCCCGAGGATCGGATAATTATATGCCGATCGAAGCCTCCAGGATTCAGACATTGCGACGCTCATCCCGGTTCCTTCCTCAGATGGCTCACCAGGAACGAGCAAACTCGCAATGCTCATTGTCTGATGTGTAAGAGAGACATTAGGGGCTCCTTGACGATGATCCGTCGACATGCCCAGACAGGGAAGCACGTGGACAACGTCACGAATTACGGAGCGGTGGTTGTGCGACAGACCGCGAAGATGGCACCCCAAAATTACAGGTAAGACGAATTTCCCACCTCTGGTGGAAAGATTGCAGGAGCTGAATGTGACACTAATAGGTACGACAAATCCGTGTAGACATCCGTCAGGGTCAGGTACAGATCTTCGGAGACCTAAGGTCCATTTCCTTCCCGATTCAGGTACGTTGCGGACGGCAACGTAGCGAGCAGTCACGGCGAACAGGTCATTCTAGTTTCTCCGATGGAAGGGGGCCAAACCGGGACTGTCTTCGTGAACCAGGAAGATACTAATGTTGACGGAGAGGCGTTCAATGGAGTCATCGGGGAAGATGAGTACGCGCCCGTGGATTCAGGAGAGGTGAGTTCTCACGCCCTGCAGAGCAGATGGAGCAGGGAGGCATACGCCCCAGATAGGTGTGTCGAGCCGCGGCTCGCTCGCGGGGATTATCCCGGGGGAAGAGGGGCTCGAAGAGGTCTCGTTCAGCCATCGGATAAGTCGAACTGTAAGAACATAGGATCGAGTCAGGCATAATGCATCGGTAGCTCTCATCGGCAGTTCGACTCATTCGACCCATTGCTGTATCACGCGAGCTTCACTAATCGAAGGATCTTCTCATTCGCCGGGTTCTCGAGTGAACTGATGGCTTTCATCACATAGAGCCTCATCATGAGCAGTATGCAGCCATCGACGTTCTCGAACGAGAAAGATTGAGAAGAGCGGTACTGGGAACGCGATCATTGAGGGGCGTGGAGATAATTGAGACAGCGAAGGCGGGCAAAGGGGCGCGGGAGGAGCGAGGTTCAGGGACGTTGCCGTCGACAAGGGCGAGGAGAACTCACCAATAGTATATCGTTCCAGGTCTACGCGACAATACAAAGGACAGAACGTTTCTCTGCGAGCCACCGGTTGCATTCCTCAGAACTGAGTGCATTCAAAAACCAGGAAATTTACGGGAAATGTAACCACATAAATGGCCACGGTCATAATTATAAGAGTGAGTCGGTGCTACGACCTTCCTTTTTCTGACTTGTCGTCAACGGATATGCATGCATGCATGTCGTGCTTCCGGAGCGAATATTCTGAGCAGTTTTTGTGACGTGCCCCCGATGTATCGAGAGCTCCCCGCTCCCTATACGTTCCATTGTTTCATTATTACTATGGATGATTCCTCTCTCCGATGATTTCCGCAATGGTTTGGTGTTGAGTCGGGAATATCGATTCGAAAGCTGACGATGCTGTTCCCCTCTTCAGTGATCGTTGCCTTGACCGGCCCTATAGACAAAACCACTGGCATGGTGATGAACTTGGCCGAGTTGAAACGTGTCATCCAGTCCAACGTACTCGATCTCGTGGATCATAAAAACCTTGATCAAGACGTACCCTATTTCCGAAACGTAGTCAGGTGAGTTCTGAACGACAGTTCTCATGCTCGATATGCGCCGGCGACGCTGTACGCCACCCGGGTCTGCAGCCCTCGATGACAACGTGCGTTTCGTGTTTCAGTACTGTCGAAAACATAGCCGTTTTCGTGTGGCGTCAATTGAGGCCCGTAATCGACCAGAAGCTCCACATCCGAGTCACTGTGCATGAAACCGACAAAAACACAGCAACGTTCCCAGCGACTATATAGGGGGGCCGCGTCAATTAGGTCGATTTCAACCAGGATTGTATATGAAACTCTACTAGGGGAACGGAATGGGAATTGTGTACAACCGGAGAAGCACATATATAATTGTTCATTATTATACGATATCACAGTTTCTATTTGAAGATCACATATCACATATAACAAATAAACATCATCTCTGACCTAACGGTGTCCGCTGAGGAGGCTCTATCGGTCAATGAACATATTTCGAAACGCGGTAGCAGTTCATCCTCACCGAGAGACATGCCTACTCGGAGCGATATCCCAGGTGCACGGAAGAGGTGTTTCGGTTCCGCGAAGCACGAACGAGTTTGGAGCAGAGCCGCTCAGGTATTTCTTCCGATACGAAGTCTGACAGGGTAATGCAAAGGAAGGTATATGAACCAGGTCCCATTTGCAGTCCGCCGTGTCGATTCCCTTGAACCTCATGTGCGCACGCGCGCATCGGTCGTCTCTTAGGTATATCGGTCAGAAATCAATTGAGATCCGATGGGAATCCGGTCTTCAACGAGATCATGAATGGAAATTACGGAGAGAAAGTCAGAGGATAGCGTTAATTACCTCATTAGCATAGCTCTCCACTCAAAGAGCGATGCCCTCCTTTTCGTCCTGTGCCAAAACTTCGAAGAATTTCATGCCACAAATCCTCTCAAGAGCCGCGCGGCTCCCTTTGGCTCGGGAGGGAGCGGGAGCTATCATCGAAGAGGTTACCGAGACGGATCGTCTTGCTGGAAGAAGGCCTGGAAAAATCTAATTCGGAGAGAAACGCGTATCGTACGGTAGAACGAATTCCAACAGCGATGGGCCGAAACTCCTTCTCGGGAGTTCATGCTCTAGTTCTTCTCCGTGGGAAGGTGGCGGGATTCCGACGGACGCCCATCCCCAGTGAAGGGTTTTGCTCTCAGAGATCCCACACTTCACCGCGAGGGCGGGGGACTTTACGGCTCTCCAGTCAAAGTCTCAAGTTTTCCAAGACTGCTGGTCCAAGTATTCGAAGAGGAGATTCCACGACGGAGAGCGTCAGCGAATTCCGATTATTACCCCGCAGAGCGATAGCTTTGAAGATGGTTGAACAGAATCCTCAGCGCGGGTAGGCGATCCGATTGAGATCCTCCGCTGGCGCTACGGGATCGACGATTCCCGATTTGGCACCCCCACTGCCATGTCGATATCAGCTGATCGTTGCTGCTGGGGCGAGAGCGCTGCTTGGCGAACCCTCAATCCAAAGATATGTTCTGGAGTTTCTCATCGGTAGACGGGGTCTACCAGCGACGAAGATGGTTGCGCGAGGGCTTGGACTTTCGGAAAGGCAAATAATTAATTGCCTGATTGCGCTCTCACATGTGTTCAGATCATGGCCGCCATCAATCTCTCATCCGGAATGCCGCTCCATTTCGATTCCAATTCCTCGACTACCCGACAGACAGAGATACAATTAAAGCTAAAGCGAAGAGCACGGACCTCATCCCCGGTGTCCACGAAATCGCCGCTTGAAACCATCCCGCGGCTCGAATCCCACTAACACACCTCAGACTTGTCTAGATACGTCAATGTTTTGATACAGACAAGGTGCGCGAGAAACTTCCCGTAGCGAGTTCTGAAAGAAAAAAGTGCTCAGCCCAGTGATAGTTTTCACAACGAGCAATCATGCGCCTCACCGCCGTGTGCCACAGACAATTGCCGCACAAGCTCTTCAGGTGAGTGAAGCTCTCCGGGCCAAGCGGCTTGATGTCTGACTTTTCCAGATTTCCCGGAGGGTATCCATAGTTCGCCTCGTATTCTTCCGGACGTCGTGACTTCTCCATCTCGAACTTCTCGCTCCCATTGCTCCCGGTTGGTGTACCCGCCCAGAGTTTCCTTTGCGGAGAAAGAGAAAATAACTATCCCAATCATCTCAGGTTACTATACAAAAATCGACGCTCATTGAAGCCAGTCGACTTCGGGATTCCCGCCGCACTGAAAGAGAGGAGTGTTCCAGTCTATGATGGACTCAAATATTCCCGAGAAAAGCCGCCTGTCGATATGAGCGTGAGTATCGGCCAGACGATCATCAATTACCACTATTACCGATGAGATTTTGGATGATAAAAATCGACGTTCTACGACAATCACCAACCCGGATTTCAGAAATTTTTCCCGAAGGACGAAAAAGTGCTGCAGGCGGAATTCGCGTACGAGGTGTCCAATAGTCTGAAACTCACAGAAGGTTTAGCCCAAGTTCAGCTTCTCACAAACTCTCTGTATCACACTGACATGCCACCCGTGAGTGATCTTTCATTTTGTCAGATCGATGTCGGAACAAGCTTGATCAACATGGATGAGTGATGCTGGCGATCGAGTTCGACTCCGGACATATTCTGTCAGCTCCGTAAAACTCCCCCATTCCCTCAGAGCTACGTCGAGCAGTTCGAAGGAACTTCGCTGAGTGACTCGGAATACGCCTGGATGACGAAACGCCTCGAAGTTGTGAAGCACGACTCCTACCAGGTCAGGCTGCCGAAGGCCTGGCACGAGAAATAGTAAGTTGCTCTTGAGGTGGATTCCGATTGCGATATTCGAAGACCCCGTTGAGCTCGGGAGTAAGAATCTTGGTTAATCCGGAAACGACTTCTCCACAGCCACTGGATAGCGGCAGAACGACCTTACGGTGCGCCCGTGGAGCGGAGGAGCAGGCAATTAAGTTTAATTTTCAACGACTTCGTGAGACTGACATCTGCCGGAGGACCACCGAAACCTACGCTCAACGATGCAAGTTGATTTGACATTTCAATTTTTGATGCGTAGAATCATGGGCGGCTTTCGATTTTCAATTTGCAGAATCATGTCTGGACACTCGTGTTTGGAATGCATCGACCGATGAATAACCAGAGGAATTCCTTTCAGTTGACGTGCCAATACATAAGACCAAGTGATAACCCGTACCTATTTCACGGAGCCGCGTGCTCAGGGACTCTGTCTACGAAAGCCCTACCTCTTGCGGGCGATTCAACAGCGACGGGATCACTACCCTCCATGTACCCTGCCGCACCGGAAATGGATCTCAAGAAAACTTTCGACTACGATCCGAGAACCATATACCCAATTCTACCTGCAGGAAAAGGTAGCGCACCTTTATTTGCCTATGGGGAATTCGGCTGATTGTGTGCCTGGATTGATCGAGCGAACCCATTCTCATTTGACCGATTCCCTGCAGATTACAGCCTGCACACGATTTACGTCAACCACCCTTACGAGGAAGCCAGGACTAGGGTCGAAAAATCAGGAATCGCGCTTCTGCAGACGTTCGCCTTCGCTGCCGCTAGGGGAGCAACGGCGAAAAAACCACTCGTTCTGCAGACGATATACCACGATTTGGAGCACCTCGATCTCGTAGTGATCCAGCTGAATACTCTACAGAGCTCGAGCGAAAATGAAGCTGACATTCGAAACGAGGTAGGTTGACGCTGGAGATCATCATTCGTTTTCCGAGGAGCTTTCCAGTCAAAACAGCGACTTGAAAGACTCATGATCTAATCGTTCCAGATCTGGCACATGAACCTCCCCTTGAGCGAAGGAGCCGGAGTTGAGAAAACTCTGAATCCGACAGCGATGAAATGGCTCAAAGTCTTCTACGCACGATAGGTATAGGTTGTTAATTCGAATGATGTTCATATATAACTTCATAATAAATTGTCCATACCTAATGTCTAATTCGTCTGCAATTCCACCCAAGTGAGGAAATATAAGTGGTCCGATCGCTCCCTCGATAGGTTCAAGCGATGAGCGGCGCTTTTGCTCTCAAGCTTTCACATATCCGGGTGGGGGAGCAGAGCTCCGATGAGACCTCGGGTCGGCTCTTCGTGTGACTCGCTAGCGATTCCCATACAGCTGGCGACTATCGAGCTATCTTTTCATTTTTGGAAACCCGATTAAGGACGCCGGAATTCTGCTGAAATCTATTTATTAGGACATGAAAACATACAGGCCAATCGAACATCCTCTGCGACCGGTATTCGACAGATCAATGAAGTCCGGAAGATATACACGAATCCGTTTTTACAGAACCGAGACCCCCGTTTAGTTCGCGTGCGACGATGAGGGCGGGACTTTCCCAAGAAACCCTCGCCCATACCCGTTCACAAACATATAGTCGAGTGTCTTCCCCTCTTTCATGCATGTCATTTCTTCAAGCTCCAAAGCGGATCCAACTGACTCAGAGGATCGCTTGGATCACCGGCTGACGATTCCAAGCCCCGAGGTTTCTCGAAACTCTCTTTCGTGATTTTCGTTTTCACCTGAGGAAAATGGTACCTTGACTGTCAGGGGACTGTCCTGTGAGCCGCTACGATTCCTGGTGAGGTTATTCTACACACGGGGACGTACCTGGAAGCCAGCCATCAAGTCCTGTATAAGTCTCTCTTCGACCGTTAGCTTCTCGCCGTTCTTCTCTTTGTAGTGGATCTCTTCCATTTCGGTAGACTTTTCGCTGATCTGCTCGATGCAGCCTCTTTCCACCAGAAGCGAACGGGTCGTGAAATGTGCGAGCTCGACGCACGTTTTCAACTGGTCTTTCTCCAAAAGAACTAATTTCCTCCCTCGGACGAGATCTGCGAGGAGGGACGTGATCGGGAGAAGTCGAGCTTCCTCCAGATTCGACAACCATTTGAGGCAGAACGCAATTAGCCCAGAGCGGCCGCAGCCTCCGAGACACTGTATGATCACCGGGCTCTCTTTCCGTTTTTGGCTGTTGTAGTAGTAGAGAACTTGTTTCCCAAAGAGAGCCAGCTTGGACACGTCCCTCGTCCATTCATTTAGGTGGAGAAGAATGAGGTTCTTAGCCGGTCCCTGCAATAAGCATCGATAAGATGGAAGAAAAATGATTCGATATCCGATTCGACCCGGATTCATGAGGGCACGAAGATGCACGAAGCCCCCGGAGAGAACGAACTCGCATGGGCGTATTTAGCCGGAACTATGATTGAAGATCCGGAAAAAGGGGAGAATATGCAAAGGCTCTGATTGCCCCGGAGTATCGACCCAACAGTTCGCAAACGAGGAGAAATATCTGCGGCTGACTATGGCTAAATGTGTGCGTGTCAATATAGCTTCAATATAGCCGTAGGAAGTTGAATGTAGATTGTTCGAATTCGGATTGAAACTGAGACGAGAGGTGAAGACCATCTCCATAAAGAATCAGATCGCCTGAGGTCACAGATCCTTCTCCCTGGGCTCCGAATCAATGGGGTCCCATTTTAGGGGCCCTGCCCGATAAGACTACCCGAGTAATCCGACCGCTCTCCGGATACCCCGCAGGTGATCTTATCGGACAAGCTTCACGGTATGTGTATCATCATTCGCATAAATTAGCGGTATCAGCATACGTATGGGGCAGCAGTCATGGACTCTTATGACGAAAATAATATGAGCCAGTCAGAATCCATCGATAGTCTAAAGTCACTCGCTCCTGTGTGCCACGAGCCTCAACACCTATAGCTCAGGACTCACTAACCTGAGGACCGGATACACTGAGGAGTCTTTCAGTGAATAGCCCGCACTCCTTCTCTGTATACGACTGCACCGACACCTGATAGTGACCGTAACTTTGGGTTGTTCCCTTCTCAGAGGGGAAGAAGAGTTGCGATGACAACTGAAAATTCATATGAATCAAAATTATCTCCACAGAAACTCAAGGGGGAACCAACGAGTAGTCTTGTTCAATATCACGGGCCTGGGATCCATGACTTGCCCCGGAAACTATTCCCGTCCGAGCTGAAGCCCTCCGGAAACTAACCTCTTGGAAAGATGAGAGAGAGAGCATCGTTTCTGCACTTTGTTCCCAGACCATGGCCCAGAAATCTTCCAATGTTGAAGGAATCGGTGCTTGGGTCAAGATACAATTTGGCTCGTTCGTTGAAGGTGTTGATTTCAAAAAGGAGGCGTTGATGTAGTCATCTTTCGTTGTGCTCAATACGACTCGGTTGTAATCGTCTACAAGTGAAACTCAGAGTCGGTATGGGGGATTCGTCGGAGAGATCAGACGACATTTTCAATATTTTCGGAACTTACACGGCATGATGTCAGGGAAGCGGTTCTTCATCGAACAGATCCTACCAACGGAAATTTTGAGCGCTCGCGCTTCTGTCTCCTGAAGGTCCAGAAATTCTTTCCAGCGATTTTCCAGGTTGAAAGTCCTGGAGAAATGTAGAAAGCGAAAGTAAGTATTTTGCGCATCCTCAACGACGTGTCGGCATCGGATCTTGCGCTGACCTTGTGTAATCATCGAGCTGGTCGAATAGGTTCCGGAAATTCTGCAACGTCCTCGGATCATCCAGAGATCTTTCTGGCTTCGAATCACAGATTCCCTCGGTCGACTTCTCGTTGGCATCTGCTGTCTTGGTGCTAAGTGAGGCGGACTGGAAAGTTCGAGAGGGTTCAGATTGAGCTATGGACATCCCGCGAGTTCTCGTCGACCGGAAAATTATCGCTAAAACGCGTTCTAACCGTCTCTGGTTTCCTATCCTCCGGCTCCTTTGGGGTCTCAGCGTTGAGAGTCCCATATTCGGCGCTTTTGGCCGCAGCGATGGGTAGTACAACGGGCTGAAGAATGTCCTGAATAATTTGACCTTCGGAAGGCATAGGAAGCGCCGGGCTCTCATCCAATAGACTCTTCGCTCCTTGACCGGTCTGACTCGTCGGATTGACAGCTGCAGGCACGGTGCTCGCGGACGTCGTTGGAAAATTTTGTCCGGGCATCGGCGCTACTCCCATCGAGGCGACACTATAGGTGTTGTTAGGAACACTCCCGCAGGTGGAGGCTGGCAGATATTGAAGGGGAGGGTTGCTGTTTGGCGCAACCGGACCCTGGATTGGAGTCGCATGCGCTTGGAATGCCACGTTCGGTGCAGCATTGTAGGTCCCCCCGCCGATGGTTGCGCTCGTCGGAAGGGTGTTGTTCGGAGCCGCGGGGAGAGCATTCGGAGCGGAGAGCCTCGAGTTTGGTCCTTGGGCTTGGATCGCTGCAGTCGAGACTGTGCCCATCGAAGAGGTCGAAACGACTGAAACGGCAGTCGATGCGGAAGTTGGGTAGACGTAGCTGGTAGCTCCGCCAGGAACACTGCTTGCTTGAGAAGATACGGCATATCCTTGGTACTGCTGGGTGGTGCCCATCTGTTGGCACTGAGCGTAGGGGTTCTGACTTTTGTGAAGAGTATTTGAACTCGTCACAGTACTGTTGAACATTCCGCTAGTCATAACAAAGCTGGCGCTGGCCGTGGGCGATGCGGTTGGGAAATCATATCCATTCCATTTGTACACGTTCGTGAGGCAGCCGGCGACCCCCCCTTGAGTGTTCCCATAGTATTGGGCTTGGCTCATTGGGTGGTTTTGGACTGCGGTACTGATGTTCGACGTCGCCGAGTCCGGAGCAGGGGCTGCGACACCCGCACTTGGCATATTGCGCTCGAGAGGCGCGTTTGGATTTCCCAGGGCACCGGGCACCCCTGCGTGGCCGTATTGATATCCGGTCTGATACTGTTGCTGCTGCTGCTGCTGAGGAGATTGGGCGTAAGAGTAAGCATTCACCGATGTCTGAATGGGTTGGGCGTTCGATGAGCTGTTGGGATCGTTACTCGGTCTGGGGGCAGCGTTCGAGCTGGTGGTGTTGGCCGAGTACAAGTGGGCGTAGGGCGCGTACCCTTGGTAAGCCGGCTGGCCATAGCCCCCGAGGCTCTCGACATTGTAAGCACTGTAACCTTGATTCGATTGTGCAGCAGCGGGTGACGATGGAGAAGGTCGCGCTCCAGGGACGACAACGTTCAGAGAGCTTCTCGGGTGTTTCGCGTCGTTGGAGGAAGCCGCAGGGGACTGGGTCGGATTTGACGCTTCGGGAACAATCCGAGCTCCTGGAGGTAGGACTGCCGGAGATGGAGTTTGCGGCGGCATAGCACTCCCTGGGGCTGGTAAGCTCATCTGAGGCGGTTGTGTGTTGCCAGTCAAGGACGTCGATTCTCCCATCGAGCTCATCGCTACCGAGGGTCGCATGGGACTCTGGGAAATCCCGGTAGATCCGGGCATCGCCCGCGGAACGTATTCGTTCTTTTTGGCGTTGTTCATCATGGCCAGATAATCTTTGAGTTTCGGAGGCTGCGCGTTCTGAGCCTGAGCAGTCGGTGGTATATTCGGAGGTCTTGACACGAAAGCAGGGTTGGATTCGGGCTTGAAAACTGGAGGCCGAGCCAATTCCGCTTGCCGAGCTCGCAGCTTCTCTTCCTGCTCCTTCTCAACTTGGACAACGCTCCGGAGTCGAGTCGCAAGTCGCCTCACATCGTTGACGAAAATCCCGTAGAAATCGGTGCCCTTAGTGGCTTGCCTCTCAACTTCTTCGAACGACTTGTATGCCGCTCGCAAGTTTTCGATGGATGTAGTCCATGGTCTTCTGGCTTGTTCTAAATTCATTCGGATCTCCGCGGTGTTCGCATTCGCTTGCGAAACTGCTTTCAATATGTTGTCCTGAGCCAGGAGATTTTTCTCGAGTACTGCTATCGCTAGCTTGTGTTTCGCGAGGGCTCTCTCGAAGACTTCGTTGAGATCCTCTTGAGCGTTCGCCACGATGAGTTTCGTGATGTCATCGTTTATAAGGGCATCTCTCAGCTCAGAGAATAACCTCTCCCGCTGTTGCTTCATCTCTTCGAGCTTGTCCAGGAGTTTGATGAATTCTAAAATTACTTTCTCGTCTTCTTTAGTGGCGCTTATGACATGAGGGAGTTTCTGTTCGAGAGTCTCAGGAGCCAACTGGAGAAGGGCCAGATGATCGTCGTGAGCTTCAAGGGCCTCTCTCAATGTTTCGTTATTGTTGGCCGAGTGAGTTCGGATCTCCTTGTATTTGTTCAATTCGGCTCTGAGATCGGCCACCACGTTCGACGTCACGCTTGCCGGATTCGACATCGCGATCAGCTGTTCCGCTTCACTCAAATATCTTCCGACCTCGTCCGACATGGCATCAATTTGCGCGAGCTGACTGTTGATGGCGGATATGGAGAGCCTATTGGTGCTGAACTGAGCGCAGACTTCGATGATGTCCGGCGGCAGCACGGGTTTTTTCTACGAATATTCGAAATATTGACTGTCAGAGGGGTGTAAAAGCGATCCGCTCTCTCCTACGACCTATACGTCATTATCATGTCAGGAGGGCTAATGACGCACGTACCATCATCTCGAACAAGTCTTTCTTGGATATATTGAGACTGCTTTCATACGAGGCTAGATCTGCGTTCTTATCCTCTATGACCTTCGATAGCCGACGAAGAAGCTGTGCCTTCTGCTCCGAGTATACAGAGGATGCTTCGTGAGCAGCCATTGGGATCAATGTGGCGAAAAGGTCCGGTCCGCAAACCTGAATGAGGCGGTGAGGATTAAGAGACACTCGGGATGAGGGTCTGGAAGAGAAACCTCTCAATGATTGACATACCTCAGGATCGTTGGGGTCGAAGGGAGTTCCCTTGACCAGGACGGCTCCCTTAACCTCTGGCAAGCTATCTGCATTCGGGACCTTGTCGTGGTAGACGAAATCGTTTTCGCGCACGCCGACATTTAATTTCCCGCCTGTGAAAGAGAACCAAGATCCCATATATTTGTTCTAGAGGGAGGATTTTTTTGGGGTCGATCATCCCCGAATGAGACGAAAACTCAAATTACCGATCACGTCACGAGTGAATGCCAACGTCTCTTCGATTCCGAGGTCTTCCGCCGCGCGAAGACTCTCCTCGAAACGTTCCATGGCCAATTTGTACCACGCCACCCTGAGTCCATATTGGTTATCCTCTTCAGCCGTCATTCCCATATACAGCGCTGTCAAGGCACCGTAGTACGAAGCCTGGAATGAGAATAGATGATTCCCTTGTACCTTTGGGTCACCGATTGGGGGAATACTACTGAACATGATCAAGGAAAGCCTCAGCTGAGAGACAAACCTTCATTTCGCAAATGCGTTTCCATTGCTGAAAAATCTTTGACCCGACAATCGATTTCACGTCAGAGCTCAGATTGTTGATCGACTTCGTGTAAAAGTCAACTATTTGAGACGCAATTTTTGCGGAGATCCCACTTTTGCGGTTGTCAAGCATAGATTTTTCCAGGATACACTCTTGTGATTGGGCCAGCATTACCAACGAGTAAAATGTCAGTAGATCATGTGACAGGTCGCAGCCCTGAAAAAATTCAAAAGATTGCATTATCGTTCCTGTTTTCTATTTTCGAGTACATCTCTCATTTGGGATATGATATTCCGGAATTCCCGCAGTATCTCACCTTCGGTTGCGGATAGGTGTCTCGATTGTGTTGGAACGCCCACGCAGCTGCTTGGAAGTGAGTACACGCGTTTTTCATGCCTTCGGCTGACGTTCGATCCTCTATCGCTCCGAGTTGCGAATGGAGGGCTCCGATATTGTAGAGAATCGACGAAAGCTCGTACTTCACATCGGCAATGTTAAACATCACGCCTAGATGAGGGGGAGAGGAGTGGGAGAAATAATAGATGAGTCGTCCTACCATCGTGCGCTGAAGTTCCCCGAAGATTTTCATAAGGCATACAATAGAATCCCTCCGTATACCGTGATATAATTCAAGTTCCGATGAATAAGACTTCCAGAGTAAAAAATAATGACCAAGAGGCTGAGGGACACGTCGACCGCTATCGCTGTTCGAGCCGATCTCCATCAGAGATGAGTCCACTCTCCGAATAAAATCACTACCACCTGAATCCGCAATCAGATTACACTACCAGCATAGGCGGAGACATAGGCCTTGACACAAGCGACATCTTCGCGATCATTAGGAGAGTTCCTGAACTTAAGACATTCCAATTTTATCGAATTCGCGAGGTCCAAATCTCCAGGTGGATCGCTCCGAATGAGTTTCTCAAACGCCGGAAAAACGTCGGAAAGGCTGGGAGTCAGATGCCGCATTCTGGTCCCTTCTCATTTAGAAGTCAGGTAAGCACAAGGTCCGAAGTTAAGGAACTCTAATTATTACCAATCGGAAGTGCTGATCGAGTTTTACTCTTGGAAGAACAATCGCCACCCCTCCTTCCTGAGCTTCTTAGCGCAATCTCACGCTGAAATCATCACGATCAAATGGTGAAGGATGCTTACCCGAGTAGAGATCTGACCACATGAATGCGACGCAAGCGGCTCCATCATCGGTCATCGGGAAACGATTTTGTTGCAACCGCAGTTGTGAGTAGTATCTTCTCAAGGTTTGAATACCTTGGAAATCCTTAGAGGCTTTGCAAGCGGCCTGCAAATAGGGACTCGGGTCAGTGACAGGGTTCCGCAACGACTGAATCATTCGATGACTCTCTGACTGATTCCGAGAACCGTTCGGGGGATATTCCCCTCGACCGTGAAGGAAGAACGAAGGAGCCGATGAGCCCTAGATATCTGATCCTATTCGGAGGTTCGAGCGTTTGCTCACCGTTCTGAGTTGTTCCAAATCGAATATGGCTTTCGAATACTTGTTCGGATCCTCATTGTAAAATGTAGCGATGAACTGGAAAGAAGCAAAGGAAACTCTTATCGATATCTTTCAGGTACGGAGTTTGCCTCTTTTCGGGAGTCGAGATTGCGCTCCCGATGCCCGCGAGTGATCATTTGATTCCCAATCCGTGTTCTACTGCAGGCGCCGATACTCCAGAACGACACAGGGTACACACGGCCAGGATATCAAAATCGGCTCATCAGTAATACATGGAGTGAGTGAAGTGATCGGCAAACAAAATAATGAGTGCGTCACCCGTCGAGTGATTGGCAAGTTTTTCTGTTGACCTCCGACATCCTGATTCGCAATATCCATCGATGTTCTCGACCAACCTTTTTGAAAGGATGGCTGAAATCCGAAACTTTTGAACTGAGCTTCTGTTCGAAACACAGCATTTGGAGTCGCGGAGCGGCCTCCATACTTCCACTTTTGCTCGGAGCGACAGTTGACACAAAGTGAATGATGGGTGCACCGAGTCACTAAGAAACTCCACGAGCTGATGCAGTGGTCATCCACAGTGAATAGACATAAATAAGTCGCCTGTTCAAATCATCCGACGATCACAACATCACCACCATTGCGGCAGCCAAGCTGTTCACGGCAACAGGGAAGAGAGACATATGACAGCCATGGTGATATCCAACGTCCGACCCGGTAGATTCTGCGAAGTTTCCCGCTATCGGATTTCAAATATCTCACGGCGATCTGTCCGAATCAGACACCGGACGCCGTGTCGGAGTTCGCGAAGCCGAGAAAGTCTGGGAAAAGCTCAATCGCCCGGGAAATCGAGTCGAGACAAAAAGAGCTGAGGAAGTTCCAGAACGCGCGCCGAGTTGTTTGTAGATTGGGCCCACGATGGTTTTGAATTGTTGTTTATTGATGGAACTGCAAGTAATACTGCTGTAGTTCACCTTTAAAATAAGCATCTACATAAAAGAACATCAGTTATCCGAGTAAGACCATGGAGCGGCCACATTCCCGGCTACTTCCTGTTGGATCATCCCGATACCGTGAAGCAGGGCCTCATGACTCATGGCTTCGAAGGCAGAGCAACTTGACTGAACGGAGGTTGCACGAAGAGCGATATGCGGCTCGGATGAGCCTTCAGATATGATATGGGAGATCATCTCGCCTATATCAAGGGCTTCTCTATCAGTTTCGCCGCTCGCCCGACTCCGTGGCGTCCCGCGGAACAGTTCGGCTAAGCGGCTCCCATCAGTCCTCGGTGTTTCCAGGGATTCTTCCGCCTCCATCACAAACCCGGGGATTGGCAGTGCCCGAGAAACTTAGCTTCTTTTTTGGATTCGATTGCCAGGGAGCAAGCTAGACTCTTAATGGATCGAACTTTTCGAATCCTACTGCCTGGGACGCAAATCGGTGACCGTAGTTGCTGATGTGCTGGTATGCGCGATCCTTACCTCTTCACCGTGAGTGAGAGGTCAGAGTGATCGGAATCGGTGTTCACGACCAGTATCGAGCTAAGGATCGCTGATAGCTTGCTACCCCGAATGTCCGGTCGACGGATTGAATTTGTATGATTCGCTCCCTGAGTGAGTCGGCTCCCTCACGACGGAGTCCTCAGGGAGCTCTCGGGGCAGCGGATGAGCCCCGACTCCCAGCCCTAAGGGTGCGCTACCACTTTTTGCTCCGATATAGGAATGAAGCTCCCGTTTACGAGAGGTTCGCCGACGGCGGGAAGGGTATCCGGTGATGGTTTTCGCGGCGTGCGAGCTCGAGGTCTTCGTTCCCCTCTCTCAGTGAGGTCTTTCACGTCGTCCCGGTCCCTCTCGATCGGATATGGCTCATTTATCCTCAATTGAGCCTGTAGACTCCGACCTCACTAATGTCCTGCGCCTCCTCTGCGTCTGAGTCCACTTGAGCCTTCCTTGGAAGTTTCGCTTGGTCGTCATCACTCCCTTGTCGTAGATGTCGCACTGAGCTTCCTCAGGGCTCTCCAAAAGCAAGAACCGAACCCAGTCCTAGAGGTTGAGAACGGGCATTTAACTATCTCTTAAGCTCACCAAAAATAATATCGGAAGACGCGTATCAATGTTGAGCTGACTTGTATTCAAGTTGAGAGATACGTGGCTCAGCGCATAGCCCCCGGATTTGAAGAATCGTATTTCTGAACATTTCACAGCCTGTGAGGTCGTGCCTTCCAGATGTGATTCCAGCGGATCAGTGTACCTAGATGCGGGAGTCTCGAGGAAGCTCCTCCATCCCTTTATTGAGAACGATCATCGGACCCCTATTATGACAAGATCTTCTTCGGCTTCAGTCTCTGCCCCTGCATCGCCTCCGCGCCTCTTATCGTTTCGGAGTCTGGGCTGAGCAGTTTGGCCCTTTGATCGGGGGCAAGGCCTCTTCACTATAATGTCATCACAGCTCTACTGGGCTCACGGCTAGTAAGGAAGTGAACCTACTGGCTTTCGGGGGAGATGAGCGTGAGGGCTCGATTCATTGTCCTTTCTTTTATTGTCAGCTTGATAGCATCTTCCGCTGCTCCTTCGGCTGTGGATATCGCGAATCTTATTGGAGAAGTCTCGAGCGGAACAAGACCACCGGTGTCTCCCGTATCAGAACGGATATCGAAATTCCGACGTAGATACCCTACTCCTGAGCATAGTTCTTAGTTTTTGGATTTTTTGTCTCGCGCCAAGCCGCAAACGAAGGCTTACTCACGCTCAGTGGACGAGTGATGACTCTCAGATTCTCTCTTGCGCTCGTTCATCGGTCCGTCATTCTTCTGCTGACGACATGCCCGGATGATTCTCGGGTAAGATCATCGAGTTGATGCTTCGAGTCGCGGTAGATCCACCAGACTAAACATCGTGAATGTTCCATTCGGAACAGTCCGGAACAGAATATCGGATACGAATCGGTTCTCGAAGGAAACGGAATATCCTTCGCTGAAGGATTCAGTGATCGGGAACATAGCTCGATCTCCCGCCGGTCATCTCTACCCGACGTTCCGCGAAATACGATTCCAAACTTGATCGCGGTCAAATCCCTTTCAGTGAGGCGCCCTAAAAGCTCGATATCTGGTGGATGGGGTCGCCCACTGATGCTCGTGGGAGCATGTGAGACGAATCTTCTAGAGATAATTAGGAACATCGGGAGAAGAACATCGGATGATTCCCAACACAATGCGATGGCGGCTTCCTGCGAGATTCTACGAGCGAGTCCGCAGGAAACGCGCGAGCCTCACGCTGCAGGCTTTGGAGAGCTCTGAGAAAACGCGAGGGACTCCTGTCAATATAGGACGCATCATCGCGGTCTCCGCTTGGGTCTCTCTTCGGGAACATCGAGTCATTATTCGTTTGAACCTTCTATTGGTGGACGTTTCTCTACATTTCTGCAAAAACATTTTCCCGGCCTCGTGGAACTGCGGACTAAATTCTCACACGAATCACATTTTGGTCTGAATCTCCAGGTCTGAAGAGTCATTTGCCGCCCCCGTTAAACATGCTGGATCGCGTAGTGAAGAATGAACGATACAACGAAATCGTGGTGAAAGGCTATAAAAACTTCATTCGATTCGGACTGCCATCGGACACATTTTAGTCTCATTCATGCTTTTTCATGCGGTTCGCGCGGAGGGGAGCCTCCAAATAGCCTCTATCTCTCACAAGAGCACCCTACGCCGCAGAACACCTTTTACAGCAGAACCTCGACCCTCGACTTACGTCAATAATAATTGATGCTCGACGGATCGGCGTGAGTCGTGGGAACGTTCTCCGCTTTGCTGGAACATGCTCCTTCAGGGTTCCAGCAGCAAAGATTCAGTGTGATTCCTCGTTGTTTGGCTAATGGAGGATCCGATCCAGAACCTATTTGGTCCTTGTCTCTATAATTATTTCGCGATCCGATCGGGATCCATCTCGGAGTACTTCGTCAGAGCCTGCTGAATCAAGGAGAGCGACGGAGACCTCAACCTTGGATTCCATGCTCCCTCAGCCGGTGGGATAGGAGTAACTACCTTGGGGAGGTGGGATGAGAACCCTTAGGGAGGACACGAGGGAATGTTGTGAGAATCAGGTCGGATTAAGTATCTAAAAGGTCCGACAGTGATTCGGAGGTGTAGGTAGGCATCTTTTTTTTCGTCAGGGCGTCCGAAGATTGAACAAATATTTTCACAATTGAGCCGTCTCCGTTGACAAATTCTGGAAAACATTTCACGACAATCCCATCTCACAGGAAATCTACCGTCCGGTTAAGATAGTTGGTAGCCCTCCCGACACCAACATCCGTAAGGCACCGGGAAGTGTTCCTGGTCATCGAATCGCGATTAGCGAACCAAGCGGCTCAGAATTTCTGATGGGCTTCGGTGTCTCATTCCAGTGAGAACAGTTTATTTCATCTCAAACAAGATATTTGCAGTTAAATATGCACATGGATAAGAACGATCAGCTCTCTTCCGATAGGGCTGATATAGAGTCAATGTTCACGCCGTCTTTCGCATGACAAAGTCCGCATGAAAGTCCACACATTCTGCACACGCAGTTTTCGTTTGGGTCATGGAATTCACTGGTCACGCATAGTCTTCCATGGAGCCCGTGAACGGCGAAGCAGGTTGTCATGTGCCTTGTCTTCCTGCATGCTCCCTTCCAGTTTTCGCTCCTCATGGCCTCCGTCTCATAGAACAGAGGGTCCACTTCGGCCGTCTTCCTCCCCCGGATCTCTTCGGAAGCTGATGAATTCCCGAGCTTGTAGCGGTCTCGTGGGTCCTCCACAAAAAGCTGAGTGTCGGTTAGTAAATAGACGAATCTGTTCTTTTTCGTCGCGTGAAGGCCGAGGGCACGTTTCAGGTAGGCGGATTTATCTTAGAAAGCTGATGGTTCTTATTTATGTACATATTTGAGTGCAAATCTCTTGTTTTAGATGAAATAAACCGTTGTCTGATTCCAGTGAGAACGGAAGTCGGAACGTCGCGTCGGTTCCTCGGAATTCCCAGAAGTGCCGGGGGCGTTAGACTTTTCGCGTGAAGCCCGAAGGGTGGCGCCTGGAGTGCGTTAATGCCGCTCTTGTATTCAACCTCGAACCGTGCGGTACCCCTGTCGATCGACGCCTACCGGCTCCGGAGCATATTCGATCGCTGGTGCCTCACCCAGCGTGGACTCTCGCCGAAACGATCGACATTATGGGACTCGTCCCTCTATACAATAAAACTAACTGAACAAGACCTTCGGTGAGACTCCCAGAGCACCTTTCGAGTCCTGGTTCTGTGGAAGGAAATCTTCGCATAGAAACGATCAACGATCGATCTGTGCAAATGATCTTCTCAGCCAGACCCGCGGATCTCGTTAAATGCTGGGGACCGTCAATCACATCCGGGTTCTGACCAACAATGAAAATGAGAAAATAAATAGATTGTCGGAGACTCTCCTGGAACTTGAGATGAAGGATTGCTTAACTTTCGGACGGCGCGGCGGGTCAACTTGAGATTTTTCGCAACGCTGTATTCAGTGCCCCCGTGAAACAGAAAGACAACATCTTTAATAATCTCTTCCTCCGAACATTGAGCTGTTGGGCGCCCGATGGCCCACGGTGGTCTTCCGGACCGGGCAGCTCACTCGTCTTCTATCATTTCTATCTATGTAGACTGTAGCCCTCTGACCCTTCCAGAGCCCATGAGAAACTTCAGTGACTGTGAATCTTTGGAGTTTATCTAAGGCGCATGATTTGCCGGATGTCGTCTTATGTCAACCCATTGAAGGCCAGTATATACTGGAAGTAGAGATGACGGGCGAAGAATACTGCTGTCGCGGTGCCGACGTGCCATATCTGATGACTGTTCCCGACGTAATCGACCCTCCCAGGGACGTATCTGAAACTCATGGACAGTGAGACTGAGCAGATCCGGAACAGAGCGGCTCTTACAAACGACGGAATTTCGAATTGCACAAACCTTTCCGGAAATTGGTTAGCGTAGATGACGAAGCTTCCAACCAGCAGGAACATTACTACCAGATGAGGTGGCAGAGTCGCCTTCACTACCGGATCCTCCAAACCACCCCTCAATAGAATCGAGTGGACTGTGGGGATTATGTTGAACAAAACGAAGCCCCCAATCCACACAGATCGAGAGTCGTCGTATCTGCCAGGAAGAAAGATCGAATATTTAGCTCCCATTGACGATGAGCGGTTGTTGTGGAGTCTCTGATTCCATTGGAATCCATAAACGTCCGACTCACTTCTTGTCGAAATATTTTGTTGAGAACACCATGCCGATGGGCACGCCAGCGATTATAGTTTTGATGGTGCCATAGAAAATTATCCAGAATGGAGACCCTCGGAACTGGAGGAACAGGAATCCTGTCCCGTAAGCGTAGATAGATAAACTGACTCCGACGAAATCCCATCCGTACCTGTTGGAAACGTTAAGAGAGCTCGGTTGGATACAATCTTGCCTATGGGGGGATGTCGGTCGACCTCGATGGCTGATATCGCCTCGCGTAAACCCAGAAGTTTGAGACAGTTGCGATGATTTTCTGTTCTATGCCGCGGCTCCGGAGCCTCTGTGCCTTAGTCCTATATATGATCGGATCATTCAATCATCATTCTCGGAGAGATGGAGGACTGAATTCGATTCGAGAGTCGACATGCGGAATTATTGCGGAGTTTGCTTTGCGAATAATGGCACGAAAATGGCGTTGCGAGTGAAGGCAAGCGAAAAGTAATCCGAGGCAATGCTGATTAAGACAACCTCGAGAGCAGTAGAGTGGAGGACGACTCGCGAAATCGTCCCATCCAGCTCCGAGCCGGTCGTTCTTCACGATTTGGCTCCGGATGACTCGAACTCTATCTTGATGCGAAAAAAGTCGAGGCTCCGAACGGAAACATTCTTCTTTCTTTCACCGAATAGGCGCTCACTGAACTAGTCTACTCGTGCCTTAGCTCGAAGGTCGTTTGCGGAATCACTTTTGTGGTCTTCCCTACTCACCAGTATCTAAAACACTTGCAACAGCAGCAATTGAAAATGTGGTAGACCGAAGAGAGGCCCAACATCATGGAATAGCACAACAGCATGAAGCTGCTGAGCTTTCTGTCGAAAGGCTCGAATTTTGCCGCATCGTAATTGAGCAGAACATCTTCGCTATAGCGAAATATCAGAACGATCAAGGGTCCCAGATGTGTCCATATGTTGACCGTCTCGTTCGTCCACTGCAGGATGCCTTTGATGCACCTTTCCTTGGACTTGGATGTACGGTAACCATTGGTTATGTACCTGGGAGGCCGAACGGAAATTCTCAATTAAAATAAGTCGTCCCTCGATATTTGCGTCCTCGATAGAAATGTCTCCGACCGCATCTCCTATTGATACCCACTTGTTGCTCGTTTGGAAACTCGGCGCTTCGTCAATGCTACACACGAGAGGTTTCGTCTGATCGTCCACTCCGCAGATATCGGATTCCGAGGGCGATCTTAGGAGTCTGTTCTTCAGATACTTCAAGTCGTTCTTGAGCATATCTTTCAACAATCTCATGTCATTCACCCCGATCTGACATTCGGCGAGGAAGTTGCTGCATTCTCCGCTAGCTTCCTGAAAATTCCGATGATAAGGTTCAGAGCAACCCCTAAAAACGTGACTCGAAAATACTCGGGCAGCGAACCCTTACTTGGGACCGAGGCTCGGCGATTTCTGATTTCTTCCGAGTTCGGTGAATTGTTTGAGTGTTGGACTCCATTGCGCACCTGAAAACCAGAACCTCAGCGTCAGATCTGACGACAGCTTCAAAATACAGCGAATTTCCGTTGTTTTATATGCCTTACGCTGGAATTCCCGCCGTATCTTCCCGAGTTACAGGGGTCAACAGAGCTCGACATTAAGGTCCACCCCCTCTCACTCCGAACTCAGAATCCCTTCTCAGAATGCGATCCCAGATTACGGAGAGGTCACTCTTATCCGGACAGCATCGGGGGACGATATCATGCCTGTTATGCGGATTCAATTCGATCATTCTAGAGACTGTGAGACAGATCGGCAGATCTTCGAATTTTTCGCGGATAGTCGCGGAGTCTAGGTAGAGATTAAGCGGGTCCCTCCTCGAGTGCGGCACTCCCGGAGACCGTGTGGAAACGGGCATGCACGGGGGAACGCCGAAGAGCCGCATCTTCGGCAACCGCCTCCAATGAAAGGAGAACAGAACCCTGGCGAGCTGAGGGCATTCAATCCTTCGCATCACTCGAACGGGGGACGACGTCATACCGAACGATCACGGACGTGAATCATCTGTGCATGTCTCCAGGACTATATCAGCTCAACTTGATCCTAGCGTGTCGCGAGAAAGTCCTGGCGAATCCTTGGAGGGGGAGACCAGGACGGGAGAACGCACGTTTCGCACTAGAGTCTCCGCAGCTCTATGGATGTATCCTGATCGAGGAATCTCGCTCACTCGGACAAGATTTGGCCGATGTCTCGACACGGAGGCTTGCCTCCTCTCAGAAACGGATTGAACATTCCACAGAACACCCGGTGTCTCGTACTCTGAAGTCCCTCGTGGGCGCCTCCGAAGGCAGAGGAATGGACCGCGCACCGATAATGGATTCCGTTCCGATAGGTATCGCCCCCGCAGGTTAAGTCTCTGATATTACTACAATATACGAATGTTGCGCCGAATATCCTCCTAATGGTCGACGGAACTCCGAGGAACAGCTGTCGGGAGCCATGGCAGGGCAACTATCTGTTCGCCGCGCCGCGAAGGGAAGGCGTCTCGATTGGGATCCAAATTGGAATGAGCATCAGCTCATCAGGACATCAGCTTGTCTTACTTTGAAAACTTGTGGAGTCTACGGCACCCTAAGTCAGTCACAGCTCAGGGCGATGGAAGATCGACGATTCCGATCCTCGACGGAACGGAAGCATTTTTTCTTGACTTCATCGGGACCTTGATCTCACACGAGCGGCGCGTCACAGAATTTCCGGAAGAATTCCGTCCCCGGTGCTGGCAGTCTTCCGCACACCGTATCGCGCGAAATGTGATGGAGTTCCCCTGGCATGCGACATTCTTCTCGGGATAGAATTTTTTTTGCAAAAAATCAAAGTCCATCAGGACGGTGGGTCGGCTGATCACTCCGGAAAGACCTAGTCGATGTGCGCTCCCTCAAATTACATCGCGGGATTCAGCGAGCGCAGAGCTCGATTTGTAATAGCTCTCAGCGGATGAGAAGACTCGGCAAGAATAACTCGAGACACATATATGTACCTGACGAGGTGCCTGGACTATCACGTGTTCAGCATGCGGTCCATCAGATACCCCGTTTGATTAAATGCTCATGACTCGTTTCATTTCGGTGTGGACTTTGAGCGGAAGCTGATTCTGGCCATCGCTCATCTAGAGAAGAAAGGATCATCCGCGGCACATACCCAGCTCGAATGCTAAAAACAAGCCGGGAGATCGTGGAATCAGATACATTACTATTCCAGCATACTCACGGAATCGAGGAAGTCAACAGCGGCGAACCGTGCGCAGAAGTGTATCCGTCCGAAGCGCTCTCCACACCAACGATCTGCCGAGCTCAAGAATCGAGTTGTCCGCCGGGAAACAATTATTGCAGCACTTTCGCTGTACGTAGCGTTATGCTTCGATTGTCTTCCGACGAGAGATACCACAGCTGACCACGACTCGCCAAATAGTGAGTGTGTCTAAGGTAGCCGAGTCAAGAACAAGGGAACACTATCCGCGTCATGTCCTCGTGATCCGCTACACTTTTCCTAGCCGCGATACTCGAACCATCCACTAGATTGAGGAAACTCTTTCGCTGTAGACCGGAGAGTCTGTCTTTCAGAGCCAAAACGCAATCGTGAGTCTCGATCGAGCCTTCCGGACCCTCTCCTGTGTGGCAAGAGTTCTTCGCTTCATTCAGTGACATCACCGTGTTCGCGGCGCGCGCTAATTGCTTCTTCGTCAATGCGTCCGACCTATCGTCTGCCTTTGATATCAGAACGTGAGGATATAGAGTCGATCTCTTGCATGAAACGAGCGCAGCAGCCTGATTCTCCTCCCGACTTCCGAGTTGGACTCTCCCTTGACCTGATGACCTCCCTGACGGATTCGTCAGAATTCATCGCTCATCTGGGAATCATCGGTTACACGCTGAGGCTCATTGAAGGTGCTGGCGAATTTCGGGCTCTTTCCGAGGTGACTTGTGCGAATGAGATTTGAGTTCATACAGTCAAGCTCATTGAAGGAGTCGAGGAGACACGAGTATTCACTCGTGTCTCTCTGAGTTGCGGTGAGTGCGATCGGTGGCGATCGGTGTCGTCTCCCTGAATAGACTCATACCGGCGGCCGTCCACACAGGTTCGCTAGACTATACAAAGACTGCGGGGAAGAGTCTGTGTTGCCGATATGAAAGCGCCTGATTTCTGTTCGAGCAAGAACATCATAGTGTCAATTCAGACCGATCACCGAGCATATCCAAATAGGCATGACTGCAAACCATCGGTTACGGATAGCCGTACTTCTCATTCCGATGCGTGGCGGACTCGGCTGAGCGAGACGTTGCCTTCGGAGCAAGCTATGCACGCTCGCAGCTTTTTCCTATATCCCTCCGGCACCATTGGCTTCCTTGGCTCCTTTTCGCACCGGAGCCTGATAATCATGCATCCTTCCTCGGAATAGACTCGGATATTCCGGCTCACGGCGGTCCCTACCTGTTCGTCGGATTACAATGAGAGAGCGAGCTCATTTTCGCTCAGTCGGATTCACCGCTTGGCTGTGCAATTGAAAACCACGGAGATAAGTTTAGATCAGCCGAGGCGATTCCGAGATATAGGCACATGTGTGTGCTTCGGTGTAGTCGAGAAGAGCTGGGGAAGGAAGTTCGAGTTCAGAAAGCGTTCTCCCCGAAGAATCGATTCCGCTCCACGGATCCCTCACCCCTCATCGATCCGATGGCGATCGAGAATAGGCTCAGAATCGATGCACGGTCCCTCGGAAAAGATGTAGCGATGCTTGAAGTTCTCTACGAGAACATCATTTTTTGTTCCGTACTCATCTCATGAGATCGGGGTCGCCGCAGTCAGAATGGCTCGATACGGTCCGATGATTGATGACGAGTCGCCGGTCGACTAATAGTTGTGGAGTCCAAAGCCGTGCGCTGAGCTGGCTCCGCTCACCAGCGGCGGAACATCAGAGCTCTCGTAGAAAATCACTCGCTACTCCAGTCCCTGATTCAGCGCGAGGGCTAAGCATGAAAGTTTAAATTTCAAAATTCTAGGAGGTCGAGATGGGCGCCTGTCAGCCCGAGTATTATTAAATCGAAGGTTTCCTCCGGGATCGCAATTTTGTTCATGCCATCGTGTCGACGGTGGCCTAGGATCGGAATTCTCGAGCTTTGACGATTCCCTTCGATCTCTAATAAAGGCCGAATTTTCGCTTCCGCCGTCTGCTGCATGCGTAAGGGCGACTTGGTTTTTGTGCTCTCAATGAACGTAATCCGCAATTAGAGGCTCTCCGAACGTCCGCAATGACGCTGCGACCACGAAGCCCGAAGAGACTCTCTCATTAGGTGCGAAATGTGAATCAATCTTCCTTGATACTTCCCTTTCCGCAAATCCGCAGCTGTTCTGCAGGTGGCTCGGCGTGTTCGACGACTTCTTGTCGTTTCGCTTCGCCGTTCACGGGTTACATAGGAGACAATGCTTGACCAGTGAATTCCATGACTTAAAGGAAAACTGCATGTGCAGAATGTGTGGACTCTCGTGGACTCTATCACGCGGAAGAATGCGAGAACATAGACTGCATCTCAGCCCTATCGAAAGAGAACTGATTGTTCTTATTTATGTGCAGTTGCAAATATCTTGTTTCGGACGAAATAAACTGTTTGAAAAATTTAGAAGCTTGAACACAGCTTCTGCGAATCGAACCTTCCTCCGCACTGAGATCGGATGGCACACATGTTCTACTCATTCATGAGTGGCACTTCTGAGCGCAATTATCGTTCTTATTACTTCTCATTCAGGACAGGCGGCTTTTCCACGGATTTCATTGCATCTTATGGCGGAGCTCAGAGGTCGCCTTTGCTGGTGAATGTTCTTCAGTCAATGTCCTTTATGTGTGAATAATCAAGAGCATCGCACTGTTTCCGCTGTTGAGGTCAAGGAACCTTGAGAAGGAGGCGACGGACGGGAGTAGCGACCACCACGCGGACAACCGGCGATATCGGCTTAGGCAAGACCATGTGTCGAAACCTTTCCTCTCACCTCGATACTCCCCAGCTTATCCGGGTGGGCACGACTCGACGGAATCGAAGCGGAAATCCCAGAATCCGACACGGATCGATGAGGAAGATCAGCCTTAGTACCTAATTGAAAAGCGACTGTTTCCTTGATTTTTCTGCATCCTCGGTTTTGTTTATTTTTATGCTTTCTTACTATATGACCAGAGCTATAAGCTTGTCTATGCTTGCATCGGCCAAGTTCGATGATATTGATGATGAAAATGCTCATGGGAGGGTAAGCTGACAGTAAACACTGAAGAATCGAGCCAGGAAACGACTCGGTCTTTCGCGATACCGTCACAGGAAATAGTTTAGTAGCTTCATGGTGGATTCGCCAGGTTTTGGAGACTGGTCACAAAAATAAGTTCCGGGAAAATAATACGCTTTCACAACAGTAGCGATCGAATTAATCAAGAGGCGATCAGATCGATTTCATAGGACAATGACTCATGAACAGATCCATCTGGAGATGAGTTTCTACCTCCTGTGATGGTGTCGGTCTCTAGAACGGTCTCTCTTGTTCCTTCGATTCCGGTACTCACGGTCTCTGGATCGGGATCTGCTGCGCGATCTGGAAGTGAATGGGATGAGATGGCTTGGAGGACAACGTCTTCGTGCGCTTCGGCATCTGTTCTCTCGGAGCCTTTTCATCACGCGCTAAGTGTAAAGCGTCTCACCTCTTACGACGATGTCGGTCTCGATCGCGATGATTGTCCCTCGCACGATCTCGGTTGTCCCGGCTGTCCCTGCGAGAGTCCTCCTCTTTGCGTTCTTGTCTCTCTCGATTTGCTTTTCCTAGTTTTCGATGATCGTCAACGGCTTTACGGAGCTCGTCGAGTTTCTCACGAATTTCTATGAACCGAGGTGGAGTTTGCCCCCGAAGTGATCCGCCAGTCGACGGTCATTGTCGTAGATGCCGAGATAGGCTGCGCACACCTGAAAGGGTCCGACCGTTAGACTCGGGTGCTCGCATGCGGCATCTACGGATGAGGCTCGAGGAAATTAGGTTAAGAAACTACGGGACGCTCTTCTACGACCTCGCAAACTCGGAGCTTCTGCTGTTGGTAGCTGCTTGCCGGCATCGAATTCCTGTAGTGCAATTCGGCTTCGAGCTTCCTTTTCTTTGCTTTCTCGACCTCTTCCATTATGGCCATGCTCTCATCGATCAGACCTTCGGCACCCTACGCACAGAAACAGCAGAATTAGCGGATAGTGGATAGCGGAGGTCGGGGGGTTACGATAAAGATACGTCCGGGCCACCGTCCAGCGGAGATATACGCTGTGTGGATCCTTACCTTGGCCTCAGCGTCAGCCAATTTTTTGCCTATCTCTTCAGCCAGCTCGTTGATTCTGTTCAGTTTCATGGTGGCCTCAGCACTCAATTCTTCTTGAGTTTCCAGCAGTTTCTTCTTCGAATGTTCTGTCCGTCTATCGCATTCTCTGACGAACTGCTCGAGTTGCTCCAGAGCCTGTTGAGGATAAAGGAAGGCGTTAGAACCAGTCAAGTGTGGAGACCGTGGGGATCCCGCGATCACGGCTAAATCTAAACTTCACAAATCGACGGCGGACCTAAATCGGTAAGGAATATTCGAGACATCTATGAGTCTGCGGATCAGCTCCTGAAGTATACGATGACGCGCTCGACTAGTGGAATATTCACCGAAGGCGGGACCCGGGAGCTCGTCCCGGCAGCGATTTGCGGCTTTGGAAACGATCACGCGAGGGACGTGACTCAAGTGGCTCATATGTTGGAACGGATCAAGCCTCGACAAATTCGCTTAGATCCTCGAATCGAAAGCCGGGCGTTGGATCCACAAACGAAATACTCCGTACTCACCGCCGCAGGAGCTCGTTTGCAAAGATTCTGAATCTCATTCAGGACGGATGAACCTCGAACGACGTCGATCACTCGAAACCCGAGGATTCTCTTATAGGAATCTAAGTCTGCCTGTTCCCGGCAAAAAGCATCGGCGGAAAGGCCCACGGCCTATTGACCGACCGACAGACTGACTGACCGACATGGACAGCCGGACGAACGAACTTACCGACGGCAGTCGGGAAAACACGTACAAACTGACACGCGAACGAACAAGTATATGGACGATTTCGTAGCGCTCGTGTTTCGGGAGAGGATTCAATGCACCCGATCTAAGCAGTTCTGATTTGTGCTTGTGTGTGGCAATTTTGGTTTTCTTCGTTCGTTCGACTTTCTTCTCTGTCGGAACAACGAATTAACTTACATTCCGCCGCAGGTTGACAGGGAGAGGACAGTCCCTACTAGAATTTGTTCTTAGAACATTTCTCAGAACGTCGGAAGGAATCCCGATGAAGAAACCGCTTCGACTTACCGGCGGTTATTCGTCGGTGGCTGACAACAAGCTTTCGGTGAGTTGAACTGCACCGTCAAGATGTATGTTGAAGGATCTGTTCTTGAATTCAGCCCCATCGACAACATGCATACTGTTCGTTATTTTCAGGTGGAGCCCTGAGATCGGAACGAGCGAAAGCGATCGATCTCTTGAGAATTTCGTACAACATCTTGTTGACTTCGCTTCGTTCAACGAATTCAGTTCAAGTCAAAGAAAGGGACTTACGACCGCCGCACACTGTGTCTCCTACATTGTGTATCCGTTCATCCTACGGCCTCTGCCACGACTTGCGGGAGGCACTGCGAGACCTAAAGTCGACAGAGGTAGGGAAAGGCTAGAATCCTCCTCTCCTTGGAAGAAGAGGACCAAGACTCAGTGGTCGCTCGCTCATCATGAGGCTCGGAGCCCGAACACAAACTTACGTCGACATCGTAGTAGTAGTCCCTCTCCTTGGAAGCGATCTCGTAGTCTGCTCGGAGCGCGAGATCATGAATTCCGGCGCACTGTCCGATATCCATGCGCTGTAAATCGGGCAATATCGATTCCATAAAGAGATTCTGCTAATTTTCGGTCAAGGATTATATCATCCGAGAAGAAAACCGTTGCGTGCCCCGACGGAGGTCAATATCTGCTACACTTTGTCTAGTTTGGATAATTTTTAAAAATGAGGAAATATAGAAATTACCGTTGCAGCCAAAATGTCGTGAGGGCAGCACTTCAGGAGGAAACTCTTGCAGACTTTCCGGTCGGAGAAATGCGTTTTCGCCTTGTCTGGATCTCCTGTGTGACAGAAGGAGGAAATGGTCAATGTCTCGTTGGATCACATTCTCCGGGGAGGATGTCCGACACCTTATCCATTTGAACATTAATGCAGTATGGATCCAGAAGACTCCGACATCAGACTCTCGATGCCGCACGTCACACTCAGACTACGTTCGGCTGTCCCGTCGAGCATCGGAATAGGCGTAGGAGCGCCCATTTCGGACGACCGGATGCTGTGCAAACTCTCTGAATAGCAAGCTCTCAAGGCCTCCACATCTGTTGGCGGTACTACATGTCGCATCGCCTTCCATCGATGCCGAATCAATAGCCGAGGCTCCGAGTCTGTTCTGAGTCGCGCATCGATTCGTTCCGTCTTCATCCTTGATCCATGATTCCCCGGTGCATATACTGATGCGACAGAGACCATATGAGCTGGTTATGTGTGATTTGAAAAGTTAACTCACCGTCTCTAGCTGTGCCCATGAGCTCGTCGAGCATTGCTCGCATCTGCTCTTGGGCCGACATCTCACGACTTGTCTGAGGTTCCCAAAGAAGAACTCTTGTCTTGAACTTGCTCTCGAGAAATGTGTGCCTCAGCTTCTCGTCAGTTGGGGCACTGCTCGTTCTCCAATGCTTAGATCGTCACTCGTCGCAAACACCACCATACCACAGAACCAACACCGTCGCTATGTAGAGAACAGACCGAGGATGGTGGCGAGAGCCAGAAGTTCATGACGTCATGACCGCCATTGATTCGAATGCACGAAGTTTTTTCAAATATTCCGTCGATTCAAGCTCGCTCATCTTCTTCGACCGATGAATGTCTTCCGAATCCGGGATTCAATGCTAGACGAACCGCCTCGATGGATAGATTCGACGAGAAATCTCTATCCGTAGAGCGTCGCCAGTCGTATCGGAATATCGGAATCAAGTTGAGGGGAAGGGCAGCAGCAGCAAAGCAGCACACAAACATTCAGCAGCCAGTCCTTGTCGATTCTCTTCGAAAGCAAGATGGCGGCCATTGCAGTGCCTAATGATCGTCATCAAATGTTGCGGCAACATGAGAAGAAGCCGGACTTTCCACTCAAGAAAAGCTTGGGTAAGTTGCCGCTCACCAGAGGTTTCCGACGAGGGGTCACTCGACGCGAGCTCTGACTGGCCGCTCGGAATCCTAGCTCCGGTCGTGTTGTCTTCGTATACTGCCGGTTTTTGCCAGTCATCATGAGCATTCAATAGTTCTGAATTGATCACGACTGGCGACAGCGGGCCTCGGAGCGAATCGGGAAAGTATCAAGTATTGCTGGAAGGCTCGGTGTCACAACTCGGTGGTGCGCAGACCCCTCGTTCCCCGAACGTTCAGAGAGTTTGACATCTGATAACAGGCATATCCGCGTAGAGCTTGGGGGTCCGCAGCTGTCTCTGACTGTCTCGGTTCGACGAGATGGTTCTGTATTCCTGTCCGATCCTCCGGCTCAATTCCGTTCCGACGCCCGAGGCGGGGCTGGCCGGAAGTCTCGAGTCCGCATGTCGTGCGGCTCCGAAGACGGAACACTCTCATGCATTGAACTTCGAATCAAGCGATCCGTCTCGATGGTTTGAGAACAGAATTATATTTGAATTTGTCTCGGTTGAAGGTATCGCTGAACTTCCCAATGGAACCGAGGATGAGGACACTGTCCAAGACAAGGTGCAGTCCATTCTGGAGCTGGGACAGAGACTCGCGAAGGAAGGCAAGGCAGAAGGTGAGTACATCGGTGCGGAATCGGGAGGTCGCATTTCCGCCACGTCGAGGCTCGGATTTTCACAAGCCGACACAGTGATTTCCTAACTATGCATCGAAATTGAATCTCGACCATCGTTCCGATTCCTCCAGAGCTCGGCGAATTGATAAAAAACACACGGCCGTTTCTGAAGCGCGTGAGCAAAGCGAAGGCTGCCAAATTGGTTCGAGCTCTCGTCGACCTCTTCCTGGACATGGAAGCCTGCACTGGATTGGAGGTTGAGCTGTGTCGAGAATGCATCGAGTGGGCGCAGAAAGAGAAACGTACTTTCCTGCGACAGAGCCTCCAGACTCGACTGATCGCTTTGTACTACGACACCAAGAAGTAAGTGACTTCGACAAAATGAGGCTTCCACGGATGGGTTATTGAAGGATAGGTTAAGATATAATATTGAAGGCGATCCGTTGGTGAAGGTGCCAATGACCATTTCAATCGCGTTCCAGGTACATCGAAGCGCTTCAGCTGATCGGTGAACTGTTGAAAGAACTCAAGAAAATGGATGATAAAGATCTGTTAGTTGAAGTCCAACTACTCGAGTCGAAGGTTTACCATGCTCTGAGTAATTTACCGAAAGCTCGCGCAGCGTTGACGTCTGCGCGGACGACCGCAAATGCGATTTACTGCCCGCCGAAACTGCAAGCTCAGTTGGATTTGCAGTCGGGCATATTGCACGCTGCCGACGAACGAGACTTCAAGACAGCGTTCTCTTATTTTTATGAAGCCTTCGAGTGCTACGATTCTGTTTCGAGCCCGAAGACAGTTACGGCCTTGAAGTACATGTTACTATCGAAAATCATGCTGAGTCTACCGGAGGACGTACAGGCTATCATAATCGGGAAGCTGGCCCTCCGCTACGCCGGGACAGAAATTGAGGCGATGAAAGCTGTCGCGGATGCATCACAATCACGATCTCTCGCCGACTTCCAAAAAGCTCTTTCGCAGTACAAAAAAGAACTCGTCGATGATCCTATCATTGCTGCTCATCTCGAAACCCTCTACGACCAGATGCTCGAACAGAACCTATGTCGCATCATCGAGCCGTACTCGAGAGTTCAGGTGGAACACATCGCTCAGGTCAGTCGACGTCCGATCCGGACCGAGGAACTTTATCCTGTAACGGCGACCGATCGATATCTTCTTCCAGGAAGCTAGCTTCCCGAATACTGGAATGTCAGGAAACTGAATGCTATCCCTTCTCATATCCACAGGTCATCAACTTGCCACGGGAGAAAGTGGAACTCAAGCTGTCCCAAATGATTCTGGACAAAAAGTTCAGCGGTATCCTGGACCAGGGTACGGGAGTCCTGATTATATTCGAAGACCAGAGTATCGACAAGACCTATGGAAGCGCTATAGAAGTCATCCATGCGATGGGCAAAGTCGTCGATGCTCTGTATCAAAAAGCGAAGAAACTGTCCTAATGTCCGTATAGGCAACCACCTCCAATATGTCATGTGCAACCAGCGTAGAATCTCGCTTCAGACATGTTGAATCGGCCCCGCGTTCACCGCCACCATGATTCGATAACTCGATCGGTCCTTTTGAGAACTTGTTCAAGCAGTAAATGAGCGATACATATATAAGTTTCTGCTTCACACTCATTCACTCATCGGATGCGGGTAGAGTGAACGGTTCCCTCGCGAGGACTCTTCTAGTCCATCCAAGCTAAGTTCGAGGAAAAGTCGATGTTCTCATCCCTGTTCGAGATGCTCTGGGTCAAACGTGATTCGATGGAGGTGGTGACAATGACTTCATATGGGGGAAAAGGGGGAGCTTTTCGGAGACAGGAAATTGCATAAAAAACATTATGAGAGCCGTTTGTCGTTTTTACTCTCTTCCGCAACGCGCTCGAAGCGCTTGAGGCTGTACCGAGGGCCTAGCAGGCGTAGCCGTTTCGAGAGCCGATGGAACCGAGTTCCTAAGGGAGAATTCAATATTTCGGCATGGACAGGGGGGGGGGGAGCGCAGCTCGGGAACGCTAGAGGAAGCCTTCATCACATTGAGCTCGACTATCCTGCCGGCGCAACCTCCCTTCTAGATCCCGGGAGCTACGATCACAGAAGTCACCGTTCGGTTCCCTCCGGAGCATCGCCCTTCATCCCGTGTGAGGGATCCGATATCCAATGAGCCCATCCCTTGCGCGCTGCCTGCAGAGGTGCTGTCGATGAGGAAAACTCAAGCGAGAATAAGGCTGTCCAACATGGCAGATTTCATTTATTGAGGGACATGATCAACTGAGGCGATCTATCACGACATCTAGCACGGTATTTCTCTACTCGGCTGGCTCGAATGTGTAGTGAACCTTCCCCTGGTAAGGGAACTGTTTCTCCGAAGGAACCTGAGGAGCAAATTTGAGGCTAGAGAAAACGGAATCAGTTGAGCTGAATTCAGAGCAGATCAACAAGTAGTCCATACCTTTGCGACTGTGAATCGAATATCGTAATATTCGCACAGGGCGAACCCCCCAACGAATGAGAAGAACGTCCCGAAGAGTATCACTCCCTGGAGCCAGTATGGTGTCTGCGGCTTGTAGCTGATGTCGTATCTGTAATCATCATCGGAAAAATGATTCCTCTGTTGGATACTGTCCATGCTATCGCACCTACTCGCGCCTATACTATGACGAGAAGCCATTCAGATGGAACAACGGAAGAATCAATACCTCGGAGACATGTACAGGTCGTAGAAAATGTGCATGGGCTCCCCGTAATTCCTTTTGAAAGTTTTCACGTCGTAATCCGCTTGAGGATCTCGACTCCATTCACCATATTTTTCCAGTTTCGGATAGTCACCGAACGGGAGCTCGCCATCGGCGGTGATTTTATCCTTGTCATATGGCTCATAATCCTCGTAGACCATGTTATACTTCTTGGCGGCAGCGCGACGTTCCGCCTCTGGAAAAAACAGGGATTTGATCTCCACCTCCGGACACCACATTCGAGGTCCCAGATGGCTGTTCGGGTATTCGCTTCGTAGACCCGCTCTGCTCCCAGTTTCTATCATCCTGGACTCGGAGCGGTAGTATCCCCGTCGGAAGGTAGATGACGGTGACGAACTCTAGACGAGCTCTTCAACGTGAGACAAACATGTTCATTTATTCAGTGCCTAACGCAACCCACCGGTTTCGGGATAGGGTCCAGGTTTGAATTCGTCGACGTAGAAGGTCTTCGACCTCGCCGACAATACC